CCACGTGTGCAGGTTAATTCGCTGCAGCGCGCTTACGCCATCGGAAGGTGGGAAGGCTCAGCGAGCTGCAACAGCCTCACAGCCAGCTCTGAGACCTGTTTCCAGCGTAAAACTTCCTCCCCTGGCTTCAGGCGAATGGTTTTGGGGCAGCTCCAGGCAGTGCTGATGTGTTGAAGGGCGTTTTTGGGGTGACTCAGCCCCGGAAGAGCCGCGCTGTTGCTTTTCAGCAAGGGGCAGGTGGTTCAGACCCTCTGTGTGCACCTGATCCTCTTCCCTCCGCACCATCCCTTCCCTCTGGAGGGAGGGATGTGAGTAACTCAGGCTCTTAAACAGCTGTGAGTTGCTGACTGTGAGATAAGCCAGATACAGAGGCAGATAAATGTGTTTCAAAGAGGTTACTGCCTAAACAGAAACATCACAACAAATAGGGTTGTCTCCAATCTCGCACTCACGGCCGCAGCTCCTGGCTAATAACTGCTGCTGGAGGAGCTCAGCTGGCATGGCTGTAAGGGCCTCACTCTGCCAGGGCACGGACACCCCTGAGCTGGATTTTGGGAGAGCACTGGAGGCTCTGGGGGCTGGGTCAGTGGCTCCCACCGTGGCGAGGAGGGCGATGGAGCCGTGCCTGCCTTACTGCAAAGCTCATCCTCACGAGGAGGTGCTGCATTTTGGGGCTGCACTCAGCTTCTTAGGGAGAAGTTCTTTACAGAAGTGGTCAGAAATTGGAGTTTAAGTGATCAGACATTGGAATTTAAGTGATCAGACACTGGAATGGGCTGCCCAGGGAGGTGGTGGAGTCACTGTCCCTGGAGGTGTGTAAGAAGACACTGGATGTGGCATCAGTGCCATGGTCTGGGTGACAAGGTGGTGCTGGGTCCAAGGTTGGACTGGGTGATCTCAGAGGTCTTTTCCAGCTTGGTTGATTCTGTGATTCTGTGCTTTTGGTGCCTGATAGAGGAGGAAACCCAGCTGAGATTACCCGTGAGCCTAAACTGGGTTTATACAGAGAGTCTTGCCCACCCAGTGGGGTCTGACCATCAGTCCACCAACTCAAACGTCCTTGTGAAGGTTATCACCTTCCCGTGGTGCCATCAGACCTTCTGAGGTGAATCTTTCCAACTTCCTGCCTTTTTTCTGCTCTGCAATATGTCTGCAGGATGTTTTCATGAGCCGAACGTTTGCCAGAAGTTCACAGATCAGTTACAAAACAGATGTACTTGTCTTTCTTTTTTTTTTTTTTTCCTCTCCCCTTCTTCCTACTGGTAAGGAAGAGTTTGTGCAGTAATTGCAGGCAGGTTGGGAGATGTTTTCTTCATAATTCTCCTTCTTATGAAATGTTTATGAAACACCTTCCACAAATCAGTTACGCAAGAAAGCTCAGGAGCTTTGATCATTTTCCATCACCCTCAATATGTTTCTTAGTTTGTTTTGCTTTTTGTTTTTGTGTTTAGGCCAGAGATAGGTAAGAAACCATCCATCCTTGCCCAGGCCCAGCAGATGTTCAAGCCAACTGTGGAAGGGACCCTCTCTACCCTGTCACCCTTCCTGTGTTTTTCTCTGGGATCGCTCGGGGGCAGCTGCCCCTGTTTTAGGGCTGTGAAAACATCCACTTGAGATTTGCAAGTGTGATTCCTTTCCTATCCCTGTGCTCCCGTGCCACCACCTGCCGTTACCTGCTCCAGAGGAGCTGGAAGCTGCTCCCAGCCCTGCCTGGGGGCTCCCCTCCAGCCCCAAAGGGAGGATGAAGGTGGCTGTAAATTCACAGCCAAGAGCCCAGGCCCCTTTCCTCACCCCCTGGCAGGGTGTGTTTGCAGGGCACTGCTTGGTCCTGTTCATTTGTCATGGAATCATGGAATGGTTTGCGTTGGAAGGGGCCTTGAAGGTCATCTCTCTCCAGTCTCCCATCCACGGGCAGGGAACCTTCCTCTAAACCAGCTTGCTTTCCTTACACACTGTTATTTCCCCAAGTAAAATTCAATGGGAACGAACTCAGACTTGCTCTCAGTGACCTCTTGTTCCCCATTTCCCATCTGTCATGATGGTCATGGAAAACCAAAGTCCTGAGCAATCCCAGTGGGATTTAGTCCCAGTTTTAACCAAACCAGTGTTGCTCACTTGCAGTGTTTCACAGTCCTCATCAAATGAGGTGATTCTGTGGTAATTTCAACCTTTTTATTTATTTTTTTTCTTCCAGTTCCTTAATGAAAACTCTTCCCATATTTGCAGGCATTTTTTTCTCCAAATACGAGGCTCACGCACTGGGAAAGGAGGAGGCAACTCCTCCCCTCGTTTTATTAATTTGAAATTCACATTATTTTATACGGGAGTCTCATGATATCGAGCGGCCTCGCCCACAATGTGTGTGGTTTTTTGGGGTTTTTGGGGTTGGGGTTTTTTTTTGGTGATATTGCCGGTTTAGCCAGGGAAAAAAAAAAACCCGAAGGTGCGGGATTTGCATAAAACCATCCCAAAAGTTTTGGATATGCCCCCAACTCCTGCTAGCGAACAATTAGCCAGCTGCAGGCCTGGTGGGGAGAGGAAGAGGAGGGAGAGGTAAATTTGAGCCTAAACCCGATGGAAATGGGTGCAGGGGGGGAGAAGGATTTGTCAAGAACCCGCAGGTTCCCGCCCACTGCGCAGGAGGGAGCCAGAGAATTCCAGGGACGGGGGAAGGAGCAGTGGGAGATGTTGTTGTTTTTAAATCGGGAACCGGTCCTTTGCCAAACCCACCTCCCGTTCCCATCTTGTGCGATGCCGGGGTGCAGCTACACACCCCTTTCTCCCTGGAACGGGGCCAGATCGTCCCGCTTGGCAGCTGGAAAAATTGATTTCAGTTTGGAAATGGCTCGTGCGCCTTCAACACCCCGCTCCCATCGGGATCGGAACTCAGGCGGGACCCGGCGCCTCGTTCTCTAAGACCTGGAAGACTTTATTTTTTTGGGGGGACTGGTTGTTTATTTTGGGGGACTGGTTGTTTTTTTTTTTTTTGGGGGGGACTGGTTGTTTTTTTTGGAGGACTGCGTGGCGTGAGACACAACACACACGTGAACTGCAAGCGAAATTATTGATTTTTTAAATTATTATTATTATTTATATTTTTTCCTTTTTTAAATTTTTTTAAAATTTTTTTTTTTTGGCTTCTTTTTAATGCGCCCTCAGAAAGGAAAAACATCCATAAATCCGCTTTGCCTGCAATGACCGGATGGCTCAGGGTGTGTTCTCCTGAACCTTTTGTGTATCCTTCACTGATTTAGACACTATCACTTGATAGTGATCAAGAAGATCTTTCCATCCTTTTCTTTTTTTTTCCCCGCCAGGCTAAAAGAGGGATGATCATGCCAACCTGAAAGGTAGGAAAGAGCTGGAATTCGCAGCGTGTCTGCCCCTTGTTGCAAGGAGCTGGGCTTATTGCAAAACTAGTTTCGGCAGTGGCCAGAGCTGTAGCTGTAATGAAAGGGGGTGTTGTAATCACCTTCCCTTCCAAAATGCAGAGGGGAATGTTGCAGCTCCCTGCTCTGGAGCTCTGAAGCCTCTTGTGGTCCCATTTTCCTCTCCTGTGGAGGTCGGTCAGGGGTTGGACTTGACGATCTTGGAGGTCTTTTCCAGCCTGTGTCTTTGTTTGCTGCCGTCAGATGGGGAGAAGAACGTCCCCTGAGCCAAAACATCTTGGGATGTTGTTTTTAAGGCTGAAATTCTTGTCCCCCTCTGCTGGTGGGAGGTTGTACGGCCTGAAGGCCCCATCAGTTGGAGAAAGCCCCCTGCGAGGTGACCCTCCCCATCTCTGGGGGGGTGAGAGGCTTGGGAGTAATTTGGTGGCAGATGGAGGGGGTTAATCCCACCAGGCAGGGAGAGTCTGCAGTGCTGAGCCCACGGACAGGGGTTTCAAAACCTGTCCTCTCTGGTGTCCTCCTGGTTTTCCCAGTTTGTGGCAACTTGAATGGGACTCATGGTCTGAGCCTTGTTCCTGGAGTCTTCTTGCTTGGGAGAAACTTGAGCTGAAGTTTCCTTGACTCTTCCCTTAGATAAAGAGTGTTCTGAGAGTTCTCTAGGACTTCTCTGCCTCCTGTGCATAGACACTCCTCGCACAGCTTTCAGGAATGAACCTAAAAGCCTCTAAAATCTGCCCTCCCTCCTGTCCCAGTCAGCATTACCAAAGGATTTCAGCAAGTACAAAGTGATGTAACAGGTTATTATTATTATCTTTTAACAAATTTGTATTTTTAAATGGAGTAGCGATGCTAGAAATGAACATGGAGACTGAGGAATAAGCCAGAAACAAGGATTTGCTGCTGGTCCTTGGGCAAATTCATCTCTTAAGAATGTCGACACAGAAATTGAGATTTTTTTTTTTTTTTTTCCTTGTAGACAAGAACCTTTCCTGAACATTCAGGCAGCTCAAAATGACCACTGGACAAAGGGCTGACTTCTGTGCAGTTTTCCATTTCTTTTTCCACAGCTTGTTGTAACTAAGGAAGCAGATTTTTGTATTTTTTTTCCCCTTAAAACTTCTTGGTTGGTTTTTTTTTTTTTTTTGGTAGAAGCAAAGCAAATGCATTTGGTGCCTGGAGTGCTGCATTTTCAAGACTGGAAGATTACTGTGCTTTTTTTGAGGTCTCTCACTTTGTGACCTTTCCTTTCCCATCCCCTTGTGCTGTTCTCTGCAGAACAGAATGAGAGGTTCTCCAAGGCCAGCCCTGCCAGGGGGGTGTGAGTCGTGATCTGTGAAGGGGAATTGCTTCTTGTCTTCCTTAGAACTCCACAAAATGCCTTAAACCTTGCACTTGGCTGCTTCCTAAAGTGTTTCAATGGGTGGGTTTTAATTGAGCAAACTGCCCTTGGCTCGGCAGAGCAGGAGGACTCTGTCCGTGGGATGAGGTGGGGAATGACCCTGCCTGTCAGCCATGGAAGCAGCCGGTCCTGACCCTCAAATTTCCCCGAAAGGAGCCTCTTTTAGACCCCTTCCAGCCTAATTCTGCAGTGGCTTTGCTCTTTTTTTTCAGATTAAAACCGAAGACCTCAGCGACTCCCTGCAGTCTGCCATCCCCCCTAGGTCAGGGCACCTCGTGCAGGGCTCATCAATGATGCCTGGAAGCCAAATTGCAGGGGTGAGTGACTGGGCTGCTCCAGGGATCCACCAGGAGACCTTTGCCAAACCCCCTTGGACACTGGCACTTCCCCTTTGGACCTGTGTCGCTAAAATTCAGCTTCCTCCTCAGCCTTCCTTGTCTGCAGGTGGATTCTAAGGCAGGCTGGACACATCCTTGGATGGGATTTCCTCTGAGGGTTTGCTAAGCAGGCAAACCACACCATGGTCAGGAAAAACCTTGAATTGGAAATAACTGGAGGCTGAGACAACACCAAGGAGAAGTGTCAGATGTGTTTGCTCTGCTCTTCCTCATTCATGAGTGTCTGGTTAATGCCATTGTTGCAGATAACATTCTAGGATAGATTAACTCTTAATCTCGACCAGTAGCCTTGAATGTGTTGCCTCAAATTGATTTACACCACAGAAGAAATTAATTCCTCGAGAGGAATTCTTTTTTTTCCTAGGGTAAAAAATTGGAATTTAGCACTTAACCCTTGTTAAATTCTAGGAGGAGCTGGATGCCAGAAGGCCACACAGATGCTCAGTAATCTCTTCCCTCATTTTTTCACGGGGTATTCAGAGCCATTATACAATTTAGGGACTCTTCATTTCCCCCCAGAATTCACAACAGTGCTGTGGAAAGCAAGCTCTGGGTGTTGGTGAGATGGGACAGTCTGCTGCAATTTGCTGTGTAATTTTAGGGAGTTCACTCCCTGAAAACGCATTATCTGGAAGAAGCTGAAATCCAGGAGGTTTCACTGCTCCTTCTAACAACCAGGGCTTGATTGCCTCAAAAATATAATTTCCAAGAGCGAATTTTTTTTCATGTAAAAGCAGAGTTCTCCACGGGGGTGTCTGTGTGTGTGCACAGAATTCCTCTCGTACAGTTGGAACCTTCAGATCCTGCAGCACCTCTGCATCTGTGGCTCTCAAATTACCCAAATCCAGTGTGTTGGCAGTTCAGTGAAGAGTGTGAAGGGGGTCAAGGAGAGATGTTTCCCCAGTTTTACTGTTCCCTTTGCTTTTTCCCCGTAGGATATGAGCTCCCTCCACACCCTGCAGCAGCTGGTGTTGCTTCCTGGGCACATGCAGTCAGTTCCCCAATTTCTTCTGTCCCAGTCTCAGGCAGGACAACAAGGTAAGAGCCATAAAAGCCCAAATGGGCATCGTTATAAGCAGATAAATATCTAGGAAAAAACCTCTCTTCCCAAAGAGTGTTGCTTTTAACCAGCCCGTTGGGTTTTCCCAGCTGGTACCCGATGCTTCCCACCCATCCCGGGCTGTTCCCACGCCGGGGATGATCCCAGATCCATGTGGAAGGGTCCAGGCCTGGAGATGCTCCTGGCACCTGGCGCCTTGTGCGCTCCAAGAGTGCCACCTTGGGGCCAGGCTGAATTCCCACCGGGAATTCGGGACAGCGGCCGGTTTCCAGCAACGCAGCAAGGAGCTGCTGCCTGGGGAGCAATCCCAGCCTGCCTGGGCTCCCTCCCGCTCTTCGGCTCTCCCAGAAAACCGAGCAGAGGTTGAGCTGATCTGGGGAAGGACCTTGGAGGGAGGTAAATCCCGGGAAGGAGCTGCAGGGCAGCGCTGGCAGGAGAACGAGCAGGTCTGACCCCGCCAGGAGCAAGCTGGGGAGGAGAGAGAGAGCTCTGGAGCTGCCGTGGGGCAGGAGAGATCCAACTGCTGCTGGAACACGGCTCCGGGAAAGGACTGAGGGCTGGACCCGGCACTGGAGAAAGTCCCTGTGGCCCTGGTTTTCCCCCTGATGTTTTTTATGGCGTTTCTCCAGGGATGCAGACGTGCCAGGGAGACAGATGTGGGCTTTGATCCATCACCCCACAGACACAAAGTGATTTAGGTCCTTGGCTTGTATTTTTGATTTAGTCCAGCGCAGAGCTCGCTCTGTCTGAACCAAAATTCAGAATGAAACCCTTAAATCTCTGCAGCTCAAATCCACTGGTACATAGCCTGTGTGTAGGCAAATGGGAATTTTATTTCTTATTGGCAGCACATAAACTCTTCTCTCTGCCAAGTGACGCTGAGTGATGTATAAAGGAACTATTTGATGTGTATTTACTAATAATCTTGAATATAGTTTGTTTGAAATAGGGTCAGGACAATCTGTTGCTTGCTGCCTGCTTTTATTTGGGTATAATAAATATATTATACTTCAAAGCAAAAACTTGCTGCCTTTTATAGATTAGAATTTCTTCTGTTCAGTGACTTTTTTGGCAGCTTTAACCCCCCACAGACGGCCACTTGTTTGGCTGTGACTCCTTCCAGTTCCAGACTTGCTCAAGACTGGATTTTTTTGGCCAGGAGCTGGATTTTTGTGCAGGAGCACTTGCATCTGCATAAGTGATTGCCAGGTTTTAATGATCCTTTGCTGTGTCCATGCACAGCCACTGGGGAGTGAAAGGGAAGGCACAGCTTGGTTTTGTGGAATTAGTTCTTTGGTGCAGACACAGGGGGAGTTTTCTTCCTGCTGAAGAGATGCACAAAATATTCCTGAAGTTGTCCCTGGAGCCATCAGGGGAACACCCTCAGTGTTTCCTGAGTTCTGACTGATGGACAAATCAATCCATGGATTTTATGGCCAAAGGGGCTCAGCCTTTCCAAGGATTTCAGTGCAGGTTTTCTGTTTTAAAGCCGATTTTAAGCCAGAGAAACTCCCAGCTCTGGTTCCTCGTGCCCTGATGTGATTCCCTGTGCAGCCCTGCGAGCTCCGTGCTCTGAAGGTGGGAACGAGCAGCCAGGGAGATGCTGGGAATGCTGTCAGTCAAAATATTGCTGCTGAAGTCTTCATCTTGTGCAAAGAGCCTCAATCTCCTCAGCTGTCAGACCGGTGATTCCTGAATCCAGCCCATAATTTTCATTTGAGCTCCAGCTCAGCTTTCACCGGGGTGTTCAATCATGATTTTAAAGACTCCAAATGACAGAGCATCTGCCATGTCCCTAGGCAAGCCATTCCTGTGATTAATTACCTGCTCTGTTAAAAATGTGCACCTCATTACCAGCCTGCATTTGAAATTCAAAGTTGTTCCAGCGTTAGGGAAGGCTCATTGAAACCCCAACCTAAATAAATAAAGGGGACAGTGCACATCAGGGCTAAATTAAACAAGAAAAGGCAGAAAAAGAGAAAGGGGGAGAGATTGATTCTGGAGATTATCTGTTTTCCTATTTATTAACAGAAGTCCATAAATTTCTCTGGATTTCCCTGTAATTGTCAGTTAAAATCAATTAAATATATTGAGTCTTTCAAGAGAGGTGATAAATCCTCACTACATTCCATAGGTTTCACTCACAATGGACTTGATCCAAACTAAATTTCTAGGGAACTACACAACTTAGTCCTGTAGGACATTCCCTGTAAGAGATATGGGCTTGTACTTGGCAGTTTGTCAGCTAAACAATTACACAGGCTCCATAAATACTAGTTTTTGTTGGGTTTATAGATTTCCCTTCCTTTTTCCCTTTCATCATTTTCGTGCCAGTTCATATATTCCGAAAGGAATTCAATTTATATGAAATACAGTAGGGTAGAAAAGAAAGGGTCAGAGGGCTTCAAAATGACACTTGAAAATGAAATGTGTAATAGAAAGCAGAGTGGGAGGGCTCATGAGATTAACTGTAGGATCAGGGGGTTTTTTTTTTAGCAAGATCAAGTGGCTGAAAGTTGGGAGTCAGAAGAGCTTATGTTGGAAATAAGATGTACATTTTTCTAACAGCTACAATGATTAAGCACTGGGAGAGATCCCCATGAAGGATGGAGTGACTTCTCTGCTGCTTGGCACCTAAAATCAAAGTCAGAGTTCTATAAAAAGCTCTGGTTCAGCCTTAGGGTAATGAGCTCCACACAGGGATCAGTAGATGAGACATTTTACTTATATAATTATTGTAATAATCCCTTTCAGGCTTAAGAGCCACGAGAAGAACCTTTTCTTTCTCCTGATCCAGCTCAGAGCCAGACCACTTTGGTAATGGCTGAAATTCCTGTATTTTGAGCGAGAACTAATTAATGGAGCTGAACACCCAGAGCTCCACGAGCCTTTTCTGGGCAGGGATGTTGAGCTGATGAAGGAGCTGCTCTGACCAGACGTGTCTCCTTTTTCTCTCCTCAGCTTTGCAGCCAAACCTCCTCTCCTTCCCTCAGCAGCAGGGCAGCCTCCTCCTCTCCCAGCCAGGACCCAGCCTGGCATCACAGGTAACCCCCACCCACAGGGTGCTGCTCCATGGAGAGAAAATTGGGGGTTTTCCTGTCGTTGTGCCTCTGAACATGCCTTTTTTGGGGGCTGTTTTTGCAGGCTGTGGGTCGTTCTGGGCTCCCTGGCTCGTCGGTTGAACCCCACCTGGATGTCCCCCAGCATTTGCAAGTGGCAAAGCACCTGACCCCCTCGGGGGCATCAGAGGAGCCAAGTGACCTGGAGGAGCTGGAAAAGTTTGCCAAGACCTTCAAACAAAGGCGGATCAAGCTGGGGTTCACACAGGTGACCCCTCCCGGGTGGGGTGGCTGGTGGTGGGGACAGGTTGGGCTGGGGGGGTGGTGGTGGTGGAAGGGCTGGGTTAGACACAGTTTGGCTCATTTTGCAGCGTCCCCTTCCAAACACACCAAGAGACAAACCCTTCCTAAAGCTTTTATTACCTCCTGGTCTGCACCTCCTCCAATAGGTGGGGCGTGGGGCAGATCCCTGTGGGGAAATGAAGCCGTTTTCTCAGGAAAGGTGGGTCATGGAAACAAGGCTGAGCCCGGAGGGGGTGTGACAGCAGGGACCTGCCAGGGGCTTTCCCGAGCTCATGGGGTGCTTTGGGTCTTCCCTGACAGGGGGATGTTGGACTGGCCATGGGGAAGCTCTACGGCAACGACTTCAGCCAGACCACCATCTCCCGCTTCGAGGCCCTCAACCTCAGCTTCAAGAACATGTGCAAGCTCAAACCCTTGCTGGAGAAGTGGCTGAGTGATGCAGGTGGGTGACATGAGGGGCAGAAACGCCACCAGGGTGAGAGGATCCATCCAGGGACCTCCGGGAAAAGGTTAATCGGTTCAACCCTGCGTAAACTGGAAAGAATGGGAAGGAACTCGAGGTGCTCAGAGATCAGCCCATGAGCTGGGATTAGAAAAGGGAGATATCACTGAGAGGGGAATCCCCAGTGGCAGCAGAACTGGGCTGGTGTCCTCTGCAGACTGATCTTGACTGGTTTATCCAAGTGGTTTAGCCAACATCTTTAACTGTGTGAAATTAAACCACTGGAAAATCCCCATCAGGGCAGGCTGGAAATCAGGCTGCACAAAGGAAAAGCAGTGTGTGGATTAAAATATTAGCACTCCTCTTTCTTCCCTGATTTGGACAAGCTCGTTGGTGGATTTGGGGCCCTTGGAGCAATTTTGATCCTCATCAGAGGAAGGATCTACACTGCAGGAAAACTTTATGTGCTTTAGGAGGTGCCTCAGAAAGGATCTAGGGAGGAAAATAACTCATCATCTCCTTGAATATCTCTTTTTTTCTCTCCCTCTTTCCACAGAATCTGCTCCTTTGGATTCTTCCATGAGCACCCCCAATTCCTACCCCTCAGTGAACGAGATGTTTGGGCGGAAAAGGAAGAAGAGGACCAGCATCGAGACCAACATTCGCTCCACGCTGGAGAAGAGATTCCAAGATGTGAGGGTGAAATCTTCCCGTGTGTTGTGAACCCTCTCTGAGTTCGGTGTTTTCTAGGTCGTGGTAGCACCGAATCCTCTTAAAAAAAAAAAAGAAGAGACATTTCTTTTGTTTTGTTGTGAAAGCAGGTTAGAAAATGCCCGAAGGGGTTAACAGGGAAAGTGTTAAAACCAAAGAAATTCCTTGGGAAATGTTGTTTTAAGGGAATTACAATTTTATCACCACGTTTTCCCCACTATCACCCACTGAGCCAAAGCTGATCTCCTGCACCCACCTCTTCTCTTTCTGAGCTGCAGGTTTGTGTCACAGGAGCTCGGGGGCCACGATGCCCCATTAGGCAGCTGTTGTAAGACCACGGTTGCTCCAAATATTGCTTGCTGAAACCATCCAGAAGTGGAGCCTTCTGCTTTTTCAGCATCAAGAATTTCAAGGAAAAATCACTGCAGAAAGCAAACAGAGCTTTAATCAGCAGGACTAAATTGTGCATTGAAAATTTCTCATCAAAACTGTTTCTGATCAGCCCTTATGGGGTTTTTTTTGGTTTTTTTTTTTTTTTTGGCTTCTCCTTCATATCAAAATTTGCTCAACCACCCTCAGATCATTTTGGCACCTCATTTTCAGCTGGTAGAAGGCGTCCTTTGAAATGGGAACGGTGCCTTGGCACCTCTGAGCCGGGGGTTTTTTTGACCCTCAAGTCTCCAACTGGGATCAAACCCCCGCAGAGCTAAAACTGCCCTGAAAACGCACCAGGAAATAAACGAGTTGCTGTTATTTCCCTTTGTAAAGGAGGGATGGAGGAGGGAAGGGAAGCAGTGGCTGTTCTGAGGCGGTGCAGGCGGGTGCACAGCCTGAGAGGTGGCTGACAAGACCACCAGGCTCCAGGTGCCCCCCAGCAATGGTTTAGGGGCTGTTGGAAGAGTGTGGGGCTTTGTGCAGTAGCAGGGACAGGTGACTCATCCCACACGGATTCCTTGTGATTTTGGTTCGCAGAACATGATCTCTCACCCAAATATTTACCCTTTGTCTTAGGAGCAGGTTTTGTCCCCTCCCCAGTTCGCAGCCAACCCCACCCTTGCCCTGCCAGCACCAGACGCTGATGCTTTAGGGTGCAGCTCTCTGGGGCTTGCTTTAACCTCCTGCCTCTCTCAGCAGAACCCCAAGCCCAGTTCAGAGGAGATATCCTTGATAGCAGAGCAGCTCTCCATGGAAAAGGAGGTGGTTCGGGTCTGGTTCTGCAACCGGCGCCAGAAGGAAAAGCGGATCAGCTGCCCGATGCCATCCCCCATCAAATCACCCATCTACAACTCCAGACTGGTGAGACACTGGGGATTAAGGACTTGTGTGGGCCATCCCTCACAAGAAGGGGAAAGGGTGTGGGGAGGCAGAAGGGTCTGCAGGAAAAGGACATTTCCTTGTATTCCCTGATCCCACAGTCCAGTGGGAAGCTGCACCTGCAGCAGTGTCCTGGGATAGCCATGGACTGGGCGTGTAATCAGCATCCCAGCTCAAGTGGAATCTCAGTCAGAACATTTATTTTTTTATTCTATTGTTGAAAACAGTAGAAAGAAAATGCAAGTTTCCCAGAAGGAACAGTTTAGTTTAATTGTAGGATCATTTATTTAAATAGGAATGCTATCCCAAAGCTTTCCTCCATGAGACCGGTAAGGAAAACCTTTCCAAAGTTAATGGAGGAGATATCAGCATTCCAGAGTTCGGGAATTACATCCACTCCTATCAATTTAGTTGTTAACTCTTGAAGCAAAATGGTAACTGTTTATACATCAGTCTGTTGTTTTACATCTGTGCAGGAACACGGGACACAATTAGTGCTGATTGTCCCTCTCTCATGTGGTACATTCACATTCTGGCAAGTGTATTTTCACTGCCAGGGAGGATGGGGAAAAGACGAGGGAAATGTTGTGAGAGCTGTTGAAAGCTGTGTCCTTGTAATCCACTGTCGGCGGATAACGAGCTACTGTTGCATTTCTGCTGGTTAATTTAGTGGTTGCTTGGTTGCTTCGACATTTAAAGGTGGCAGGAACCTCCCTCCAGCGCTGTGAGTGCTGTGAGAGGAAGGGAGAGTCTGTATTCACCGGCGACACTTTTATCTTGAAATCTTCTGGGCTTTGGAATTATCCCTCGGAAGGCAGGAAAACATCCCAAGGAGTTTGGCCACTTGTTGCCCAACACGTTTGGGCTGAGCTCACACGCACAAAGCGCTGCTTGCAAGCCGTGGATGCTCAAAGCTGCAGCTGGGGTGAATAATCTCCCTGTTTCCCTGTGATGAGCCCTTTGCTCATCAGCCACCCTGAGCTGCCTCCGGTATCAAACTGAACAACAAATGCCCCAGGCCTGCTGGGATTGCAGCTCCCAAATTCCTGTCACCCGAGAATTCCCACCCATCCACAGCTCCCTCAAGGACACGGGATTATTTGTGCCCAGGACCAGAGGGAGTTGGGAAGTGTCAGACAGAACATCCAAAGGGCAGCGGCTCCTGCAACAGGATCTTGGGACTTCCAGAAAATTTGGCTTGCTTTGGATCATTCCAGGCTTTTCCAAGGCTGGTCCATGAGTTCAGATGGATGTAGAAGGTGCCAGCGATGTGTAAAACTAATTCTGGTTTCTTTTTGTGGCCCTGGGTATGGGAATGGTGCTTCTGCACCGGAGTGGGAATAGAAATATCCATGATGTCGGTGATAAGTGTGCCTGGGAGCCAGCACACTCCAAAGGGAATGTGAAAGGGGTGGCATTATGGGATTTATACACTCAGTGCCAAACACTGTTTGCTTCTGTCTCTCCCCAGGTCTCTACCTCAGGGTCCTTGGGGCCCCTCTCTGTCAATCCAGTGCACAGCACCATGCCTGGGACTGGTAAGCCTTGGGAATCCTGTCCCACTCCGCCTTCCTTCCCTCCTCCCTCTGCCCTTGCTCCCTGACTGCTTGATTTTGGGGTCACATTTGCAGGACACTCTTCATAAGACCCTTGGGTTTGGCCAGGGAAAGTGTCCCCATATAACTGGTGTGCCCGGGACAAGAACAGCTGAGGCTTTCTCTTGGCTGGGATAAAGACATTCCCAGGTTAAAGACATTCCCAGGATAATCCTGGGCAAATTTTAGTGGGGTGCTTTGTTTGGGAGCCAGACACACATAGGAGCCAAGCAAGGGGAGGGCCTGGGGGTGGGTCAGAGTGTCAGATCTCCTTTGAGAAGTGAGAAATGGGAATAGGAGGAAAAATAGGAGTGGAAATAGGAATAGGAGTGGAAATAGGAATAGGAGTGGAAATAGGAATAGGAGTGGAAATAGGAATAGGAATAGAAACCAAGGGCCCCAGGGAGCAGTCCTGGGGTCCCCCACTTTCCCCATGGCTGGGGCACAGCCCCTGCAGGGCAGGCAGGGAATCAGAGGGACAACAGGATGGGGACAGGATATGGTGGGAATGTCTGGGCTTGGGCTGTCCTGGGCAGGAGGAGGAGAGCCCAGTCTTACTGTGCTTTCTCACACACAGTAACATCATCGTGTTCCCCAGGGAACTCCAGCAGGCCCTCGTCCCCTGGCAGTGCCCTCCATGCCAGCAGCCCCGGCACAGCCCAGAGCAACTCCAAAGCTGCCATGAACTCTTCTGGTTTCAACTCTTCAGGGTAAGGCAGAGGGGGCCCCACAGCTCACCAGGGCACTGGGAGGCTGGGGAGGGAAGCAGTGGGATCTCAGGGAGGAACATGCAAGCCCTTGGAGACTCCAGCAGCTGGAGCTACGTGGTGGCACGTCCTGATGTGAAGCTTCACCTCTAACCTGGAGTATCTCGGCAGCCACAAAATAAGAAAGGTATAAAGCTGTTAGGGAGTGTCCAAAGGAGGCTGTGAAGATGGTGAAGGGTCTGGAGGGGTCATATGAGGAGTGGCTGAGGGCACTTGGCTTGTTCAGCCTGGAAAAGAGGAGACTGAGGGCAGAGCTCAGGGGGCTGCAGCTCCTGACAAGGGGCAGCTCCGACCTCTGCTCTGGGTGAGCAGGGACAGGACCCCAGGGAAAGGCTGGAGTTGTGTCAGGGGAGGTTTAAGTTGGATCTCAGGAAAAGGTTCTTCCCCCAGAGGGTGGTTGGGCACTGACCAGGCTCCCCAGGGCAGTGGGCACAGCCCCAAGGCTGCCAGAGCTCCAGGAGGGTTTGGACAACGCACTCAGGCACAGAGTCGGATTGTTGGGGTGTCCTAGGCAGGGCCAGGAGTTGGACTGGATGATCCTTGAGAGTCCCTGCCAACAGGCTATTCCATGATTGTAGGGATATGGCTCTTTTTCTGCTTGAAAACAAATAACAAATCAAGTTCTGCCTGAAAAGCTGTGCTGGATTAAAAAAAGGGAAAAAATAAATCAAACTGAATAGATAAACCAGCCAGAAGGACTGTCCTAACCTAACCCTTTGCATGGAGGAAGCAGAGAAAGGCTTATTTTGCTGTTTCTGCTTGGACAATCCCCTCCACAGCCAATTTTCTCTCCTGCAGTGCCACCCAGAGAGCTGTGCTGTGAGTGACTCTTTCACAGTGGCAGAACAGAGTTTTGGGGGTTTTTTTCCCTCTGCCCTGCCTTTCGATGCTGCAAAAGCATCGAGCCAGACACGGGCTCAGAGCCCTCCTGGTTAATTCACTGAGGATGCCTGGGCTGCTCAGGGCTCTCTGCACTTGTAGCTTCTGCCCCGTCACACCAGGGATGGTGTGTGAGGAAGGAAAGGGAGCAGGGCGTGGGATTTGAGTCATGGATCAGCCTGTGCCATGGATCAGACCTCCTTTTACACGGGGCAGGTCCAACAGCCAGGTAGCACGTGGAATCATGAAGATCTTGCCTAGAAAGTCAGGGGGTTGCTGTAGGAGCGTCTGCCAAGGGAAGGAAGGCCATGAATGGGGTGATAACGATTTTTATTTCAAGGGGGAAGCGTCACCAACTGTGGCTCTTGTTCCCTGTGTTGCAAACAGATCCTGGTACCGATGGAACCAACCTACCTACCTCCACTGAGAGCCCCCCTTCCACCGCGTGTCAACGGAGCCCCGGCTCCGAGCCATGGACCGGCTCCTCTAGGAATAATTCCTGGGGCAACATCCGGCCTTCCAGTGCCTTCCAAGTGCTGCCACGCGAAGGTCTTGTCCGAGGGAACCCTTGGAGCAGCGGAGCTCTCCGGGGACTCAAACTGCAGCCGATTTTCCCCGAGGATTCCCGGCCCCACGAACGTTCCCTCCACGCCCGAGCCCTTGCTTAGCCCTGCCCGCATGTCACACACTGCCCTCTGCTTGCAAAGCCTCTGCATCCTCGCTGGGATCGCCTGGCAGGCTCTAACCTGGAAGGATTTCTTGTGTCAGGACTCTCCTTTCTTGCCCCTAAACCCTCCCCCGAGGAGGGGCTCTCCTGCTGTTGCTGTCACGCACACACCCCACGAACCCCAAACTGAGCCGAGGGGACCCACTTCATTTCACCCCAGCCCCGTGTCCACACGGCAGCCTTGATTTGCCACAGATTTCCAAGGCCAACTGGGCTTTATCCACTTCCAAACTTGCTTTGCTTTGAGCCATTCTGCTCTTTCCAAAGGTGCTTTTTTCTTTTCATTCCCCTCCCCTTTAATTTTTCATCCCCCTTTTTTTTATCCCCCCCTTTTTTTATCCCTCCTTTTTTATCCCCCCTTTTTTTATCCTCCTTTTTTATCCCCCTTTTTTTCATTCCCCCTTTTTTATCCCTCCTTTTTTCATTTCCCCCCTTTTTTTTATTCCCCCCTTTTTTCATTCCCCCCTTTTTTTTTTCATTTCCCTCCTCCCCTTTTTTTTTTTAATTAATTATTTTAGAGGCTTCTTATTTTTTTTTCCTTTTAAAAAACAAACAAACAAAAAAAAAAGTCAAAATGAAACAAACAAAAAAAAATGGTCTTTTGCAAAATTTTGTGTCCAGGTCTTGTTATTGCTCCCAGATCCTGTTGGAAACCTCAGGTGAAATTCTTCCTAAAAGCAGTTTGTGTTGATTTGGTGGGACAAGGATGAGTCTTGACATTCCCCTTTTTGTTTTATTTTTATTTTTTTTTCTTTTACTCATTCTTTGGGTTTTCCCTGATACCAAACCCAACCTCTTTTGGAGTTGAGGTGTTCTGCTCTTTCCTGAGTCTGTTCTCTGCTTTCCTGCTCCTGGGAGGACACGTTGTTATTGCTCAGGTGGGAACCTTGAGGTTGGTGTGTTCGGAATTCCACGGGATCCTAAAGCTTAGGAAACATCCACTTTCACAGCCTATCCCCAGGAAAATCGGGGTTACTTTGCAAACTTTAATTTTCTTAAAAGTAGGCTCGAGTCATACGAATTCCTGGGCAGGACAAACGGGTACAAGTCATTAATTCAGTGGAACTAAAGTAAATGAGTATCTGAGTCACAGACTGTAAATAGACATTTTTGAGTAGTACTATTTTTTTTTTTCTGATGGCTTTTTTTAGGTAAATATGAGCTTTTTTTTTTTTTTAAGTAAAAAATGATCCTTTGTCACTACTGGGGATTTGATCCCTTCTTTCTTACCCGACTCATCCAGTCCTGTGTGATGAATTAGGGGGTCTGTGGACCTTAAAGAATTTATCAGCTGCTTTCACACAAAATGTTGGGCCCTCCATGCACGTTGTACATAGAATTTGTTGCTTTGAGTGAGGTTTTGCTATAGCAGCAGACACTGATTATAATGAGGACTGGAAAAGATCAGGTAACATTTCTTTAAAAATATATATTTTTTTTTTTTCAGTACTAAAACAAGTTTTTAAAAAAACGTTCTGACACAAAAAATGGACAAACTGTATTTCTGTTTTCTGGATTCCCCCCACTACTCATTTACCTCTAACTAAACCACTTTCATCATCTCTGTTTTTCAGTGGAAATGTTAAAATTAAATGAAACTTTTTTTTTTTCTCCAAAAAAAAAAAAATCTCTTGTGATTAAAAATGACATTTTATGTTGGGAAAGCCAGAACTGTAGCTGGGTAGTATTAATCCAACTCTCCTGATTGCTATGGCCCTTCTTTCTGCCATTAATTAAATTTCCTTACATGCTTGGAGGGTCCATTTTCAAGCCTTGTTCTCTGTTGCTTTTCCAGTTGTATTTAGGAAGGTGAAATGAATTATTGGGATGTAATTGCTCCCGAGCTGAGCTGTCACAGGTTTGGGGCAGGTGGGTGGGTGGCTTTTCTTGGGAGATTCCTGGAGGTTCTGACTGTGTCTAACAGGGAGAACTGTCTTCAGCAGGTCAGGGTGACAGGAATTAAACGTGGCAGATTTTTCACTGGTGTGCTTTAATTACGGGATCTTTGAGGGGGAAAAAAATTCTCCTCCACACAAGAGATCATCCCATTCCACCCCTGCCACGGGCAAGGACACCTCCCACCAGCCCAGATTGCTCCAAGCCCCGTCCAGCCTGGCCTTGGACACTTCCAGGGATGGGGTATCCTTGTTCCTGGGGAAAGAATTCAAAACTATACTATATTTATGCCACATTTTAAAGTCTTCTTCCTGATGAATTTTCACATCAGCAGATGAGTGAAACCGGGGTGAGACTGAGGGGTCTGTGCTGGGGTGGTGGAGGGTTGGAGAAGCAGGAATGAACAAATCAGCAGAAATCTCATTTAATGACTAAACCATGCCAGTGTTTTCTTGGTGTTGTCCAAAAGAACCTTTTCCAGAGCTGCTCTCCTGCTGAGAAGCAATTCCCATGGGAATGTTCACCGAGTGGGCTGCAACTCCACGAATAAAGTCAAAGGGATTTGGATTTTAACCCAACTGCCCTGGCCAGGGATGGAGAAGAGGAGTGGCTGCCTGAGGCTCTGTGATTATAAAGACCCCTAAAGGAGCTGCCAGCTTTTTAAGCAATAATTTTCCAATCCTTATTCAAAGCCAGATCCATCTGAAAAAGATGCTCAAGTGGCATGAAGGGGCCTTGCTCCAGCCTCTCCCTCCTAAAATATAGGCCTTCTTAAAATAAATACATGATGGGAACAACTGGATCCCAGGATGGCACATGGCTGAGACAATTCCACTCTTTTAACTTTGTTTTTCTTTTTTTTTTTTTCAAATTAATTTTGCCTATAAATATCAATATTTAAAGATCAGCAGATAGGAAGAACAAATTTAAACCCCTGACCTGCCCCTTTGGGATGCTCTGCCTCGATGGTTTTACTTCCTGCATGACCTTGGACAAAGACTTAATCCCTGTCAGGCAGTGGTGGTGATAATCCTTTCCTTCTCCCAGGCCTCAGTTTGTGCTAAGCAGCAGAGTTCAGGAATGCTCAGCATTCCAGCTGGTTTTCCTGCCAGCCCTCATAGAAGGCATTTATTAAACAGCAAAACTCTACTTTCTATTGTGAAAACCTGGAGTTATTTCATAGATCATAAGCAATTATTTAAAAGCTCAGAAGTTACCATTCTGATTGCCTTGATAACCCTTTCCTGCAAATTTTACCCAGTAATTCCTGCATTAATCCTGTACCTGGTAGCTGAGCTGTAACTTGGTTCCTGACTTCGGAGTCAGTTCATTTAAACACTTGGTAAAGGCTCCCGGAGGTTTGTGAGGCTCTTGATCAAAAGAGACCAAAAATAAAAGCTGTTAAGGCAGTTATTTACAATATATATTATATATATGACATATATATTTTATATATAATATATATTTATGTGTTCTTATAGCATAGAGAAGATACATTGAGATAAAATCTGGCTCTTAACTGACAAGGACTATTCCATTAAATTTTCACAAATTCCTCTAAGTAATTTTCTCCCCCCAAAAAGCAGCACTGCACAGATTTTGGAACATTATTCCTGAAAGCTGGGAGGGAAATTGCCAGTGTATTAAGTGCTGAATAACGGTGTGTGCACATTAGTATTGCTGTGAGATCAAAGCCAAGCTGTGCCAGGTGTTGTGCAAACACACCACGAGAGTTGATCTTCCCCCACAAAGTTTATAAACACAACGACAAATCTCCCGGATTTATTGATAAACTGGGCCTGGATGGGAAAACAAACACCAGCAGCTTGTTTGCTTCACAAAAAAAAAAAAAAACAAAGCTCCAGCTGGAAGAGAAATATCTTCATCCCCCTGTCATCTAGGAACACTTCCAGTCTCACAGGAGCATCAAAATAAACAGAGCAGGAAATTCCAGCTTTCCAAGAGTGAGAGTCCCCTCCCACAGCCACAGCCAAGCAATGCAGGGAGCAGTTGCTCCCAAGATGTGCTGTCAGAACTCAGGTGACCTTCTTGAGCAACCTGAGCTGCCACCAAGGCTGCTCTTGTGCCTGAGCAGTCCCCAAGCTCTCTGTCCCCACTCTCCTCCAAGCAAAAGGGCTCCTCCACCACTGGGACTCAGTGACATGAACCCCAGGAGGGAGTAAAGAGCTGACTCTCAGCTGAGTCCCTGCCTAAAACACCTCTAAAAACACCTCTGGGGGTCCCATCCCTATCACCTGTGAGTATAAGGGGTGCAAATCCACTCATCTTTTATTTTTATGTGTGATCCAGTCACTCACAAGCCAGACCCCACAGCTCCAAAATCAAACTGGAGTTTGGAGGTTATGGTCTGTCTGTGGAATTCCTGCTTTTCTCATCCAGAGACAGCTGGCATCCTCAGAATATCAAAAGGACAAATATTCCCAGCTTTCCTCTGTGCTGGCAGACACTGGAGTGCACACAGGAATTACACTCCTAGTAATGACTGAAGTCAAGGGTGGTTTTTTTTGTAACAACCCCAGAGCTCTCAGCCATGTGCAGACCAGGCAGGAGGTGGGGTACCTGGGACATCCGTGATGTTTAGCAGTGCCCAAGGTCAGGCAGGGCTGGGAAGGGCTGGAAAATTAACAATTTGATTTCTTTTATTGTTCATTGATTTATTTCTGCCTCTGCTTTCCACCTGTGAGGACAGTGAGTGCAAGCTGGGAGAACTGGGCTCTGTTCCTGCTCCTTCCCGGGTTTCCCCGTGGCCTGAAGGGAGACTTGGAGCATTTCTGTGTGTCCAAATGGCCCTGTGAAGTGCTCTCATGGTTCCTGATGCCCCCAGCCTTGGGCCTTACCATCCTGGTGGAATCAGCAGAGATCCTGATGCTCCAATACAACAGCTCACCTTAAATTCAGGCTCAGCTTTACAGAGCCAGCAGGGACTGGTGCTTCAGCTGCAGGGGAGCCCCTTTCTCTGTGCTGGGGGTCCCTGCCTGCACAGCCCATGGGTTTGCTTCAGAGCAGGGGCCAAAATGCCAGGAAAGGAGGCAAAAATCAGGGAGTTTTAGCTCAAATATAAGAGCAACCTATAGCCTATGATCCAAGAAGGAGAATATTTTAGTGTGTGACACAGAGAAACATCCTCTGGAGTGCAGCACATACGATGATCTCAGTGACCACAGGTGGGGGCTCTGAGGGGTTGGTTTCACTCCCAGCGTGGAGCTCTGGATGTAGGGAAGGTTTGGCTTGTTTGGGACACACAACCTCAATTTTTACAGTACCTTGAGTAAACAGAAATGACTCTGTGTGAGTTGGCTGTGAGGGCTTGGAGGAAGCATAGCCCTCCCCTGGTTACTCACTCCTGCCTCTGCTGGGCTCAGCTCCTCACTCACTCATCCTGTTCGGCGTGTTCTGTGTCACATCTCTCTGTTAATCGTGCGTCCAGCACCACTCCCCAGCTCGGCCCCGAGCTGTCCCAAACTCGCCCACTCCCGTCTCAGCCTCCCCTCCCTGCAATCAGGACGACACAAAGCTGGTCCCTGCCTGCCTCTGTTCTCAAAACTGGTACAAAAGTTGAAAGAGGACTCCAGGACACTTAAGAGGGGAAAAAAAAAAAAAGAGAGAGAGACATCAGCCTGATCCGGTTTTATTCTCAGCTTTATCCTCCTCCGTCACAGAGGAAAACATCCAGCCCAAGTGAGGACTGGGGGCTCTCCGGGAGCGCCGCAGCCGGCAGGGCTGGGGCTGGCCGGAGGTACCAAACGCTTGTCCCTGTTTCCCTCGCCCCGTTCCCCCTCCCCTCCCCGCCCTGCCCGGCAGCTCGGCTCTCTCCCAGCCCCGGGGCTCGCAGCCCGTTCGCCTCCGGGGTGGGTAAAAGTGGAGCAGAGCGAGCGGGGATGCAGGGGGAGCATCCTCCGGGGAGCCCGCGGGGGCCCGGCCGGGGCAGGGCGGGGCAGGGCGGGGCAGGGCAGATAAAAAGCTCCGCGTGTGGCGGCACCGCCTCCCAGCCCGGACAGCCCCGGAGCTGCAGGTGCCGGGCGAGCAGAGCCGGAGAGGGGCCAGTGCCGGCGGGGCGGCGGCAGCGTCCGGACCGGGGTAAGGACCGGGGTAAGGACCGGGGGGGTCCCGGGCTGTCGGGGAACCCCTGCCCTGTGCCGTGCTGGGGATGGGGTCTGGTCCCCCTGCGTGTCCTGGTCCTCGAGGGAGAGGGGTTGTCGGGGCGGGCAGGGGCGCTTTGGTACCGGGAGGGCTGAGCCCGTGGTTTTGGCCATTTGCTGCTACAGGGGGGCTCGGGAGAGCGCCGTGCTCAGGGGAGGGGGACAAGGCTCTGGGTTGGACCGTTTTGCTCGCGTTTTGGGGTTTGGTTGGTTGTTTGGTTGTATTCCCCTCTCCGGGGTTTCCATGAATGTGCCGGGGAGGACCCCGAGGTGGGTGGTGGAGATGAACCCAGGGGTGTTGCTGCCCTCCTGACGCTCTCCCCCTGTGTCCAGCAGGATGGTTCCCATCGCTCTGGAGGTGACCTGCAGCTTCCTCACCTGGCTGTGTCTGTACCTCTGCCTGTGCCGCTGGAACAAGCGCCGCTCCTCCGAGTGGAGCTGCCGCCTGGTCACCCTCCTGCACGGGCTCGTTGTCACCTGCCTCTCGGGTTACACCGCCCTCCTGGCCGGCCCCTGGCCTCTGACCCACGCAGGTGCGTTTGGAGTCTCACCCACGTCCTTGTCATGCCCTGTGCTCACCTGGGGTTCTGTCACAGGTGGAAGAAGGGGTTTTGCCCTCCCTCTTTTGCTTTTGCTCTCCTCTTATGGGTGGTTTTGGGGTGTTTGGGGGAGGATTTTGTTGAATTCCCCTGCCTTTATCACTTCTTACTGTTCATCTTTTCGTTCTTTTTTTTTTCTTTTTTTTTTTATTTTGATTTATTTGGTTTACATTAAAAGTGTTCAGCTTGGCAGCTTGAGTTTATTGCAGCATCAGATGTAGCAATGTTGAGAACAGACTAAGTGCTTCCACATCTTTAAGGGTGTAATAACTCCTGACATTTGTCTCTGCAGCGTTTTGTTTGATGTTTTCTATCATTAAATCTCAAATAGTTGTGCTGCTGGAAGTCCATCCCTGCTTTTTAAAAGGCTTGTGAGAGAAAAAGAAAAAAGCAGCAGTGTGGCAGGACGGGGTGTGAAGGGAAAGCAGGACCAGACATCCCAGCTTCCAGCCTGGCACGTGGCCAGAGGATAAGGCTGGAAACTAAGGAGGAAAGAGGCACCTCACAACCTGTACTGCTCCATATTGTAGAACACCCTTAAAAAGGCTTATCTCATGTACATCTTTCATTTCAGGTTCACCAAACACACCTCTCCAGACCCACGTGCTGTCCCTGACCTTGGGCTACTTCATCTTCGACCTGGGCTGGTGCCTGTATTTCCAGACAGAGGGGGGCCTGATGCTGTTCCACCACACCCTGAGCATCTGTGGCATGGCCCTGGTGCTGGGGCTGGGCAAATCTGCCACGGAGGTCAACGCTGTCGTGTTTGTCAGCGAGATCACCAACCCCCTGCTCCAGGCCCGCTGGTTCCTGCGGGAGACGGGCCGGTACCACACCTTCCTGGGAGAGCTGGTGGACTCCCTCTTCGTGCTCCTCTTCCTGGCACTGAGGATCGTGGGGGGAGCCTGGATCATGTGTGCCATGCTGATGGCCCCTCGCCCCAGCTGGCTCCTCAAGGCTGGGGGCCTGGCCATGTACGTGGTGTCCCTGGGGTTCATGGTTGAAATCTGCCGCTTCGTCAGGAGGAAGATGGTGAAAAAACACCTTCCCTGGACGCGCCTGAGGAGTGGGAATGAACCTGTGAGAGTGAATGGACACGTGGTTGCTCATTGATGGGTGGTGGAGGACAATCCCCTGGCCTTGGGGCCTGGCTGCTGGAGCTTATTCCTGCCAAAAGAGCTCCTGAAATGACTCTCTGGCGCTGGTTTGCTACCCCTGGAAGGAGACGGGTCAGCGCGAGGAACGTGGAAAAGCTGGGAAAAGAGGGATTTGAGTGGAAATCTGAGCCTGACACTGATTCCCTGACTTCTGCAGCAATGGTACAGCCTCAAGGAGGGTGGCAATGCCAGACCTGCTCAGTCTGCAGCCAACAACGGCACAGTCCGTGTGCTCTGTCATCGTTTCTGAGGTAGAATTATTTTACAGCGCAGAGAAAATCAAACATGGAAAATCCAACCTTCCTGCCAGTGGGGCTGGGTAGGGGTGTGACCTGGCAAAGATTTGCTGAGCCTCACTCTCCGTAATCCTGGATTTGGACAATGTGCTTTCCTAAGTACTCAGTGAAAGCCTCAGAACCAGACTGAAGTGCTTTCAGGGGTGTAGGAGAGTTGTCCTTTGAGTGTGTGGAGTGATGGTACTTGAGGTGAGGCAATGTTTTATCTCCTTGTTTTTAATGGTACATTTCCTTTTTTTTTTTTTAATACTGGCATTCAAGCAGATACTGATCTTAGAGCAGTGTGACTTCACTGGGACTGGCTCAAGCCCTTGCAAACAAGAGTCAGGAATTAGACTCGTGCCAATAAACTCCATAAGCAGGTGTTCTCCTGGCCTTGGATTGCTTAAAAAAAGATAATCAGGTTTTTTGTGGGTGAGAGAGGATAGAGAAGAGCCCCCCTGGATGCTCTTTCTGTCCTGGGGTTGGATCATTTACAAGCCACTAAAGCTGAATTCGTGGCTAATGAGTCAAATACGTGACTATTTTCAGGGCTGACAGTCATGACAAGACAGGTCTCAGTGTAACATCTGCTCCACACCAGCAGGCCTTGGAGCATGGACTAGTTCTCTTGTTTTCTTTACCTCTCAGAGTCGTGTTCTGACATTTTCCCCTGGGGTTTTAATGTGAATTTCCCTCTGTTTAAGGCTGCAGTTGAGATTTACTCTCCTATAAAAGCCCTGCTTGGAGCTGAGAAACAAAGGGCCTTGTGTTGCTTGCAGGCTTAGCAGGGCTGGTTACTGCTTTCCAAGATTTTAGGGGAGGTTCTTCATGGAGCTGAAGAGCCCCTGGAACTGCCTGTGTGGGTGTTGCTGGAGTGAGGTGTCAGTCCTGCTGCAGAGGAAAGCAGTGGGAAGGAAGGCAGCTCCTCCATGCCTCTTATCTCACTAATTTTGGTGTTTTTCGGGGCAGATATCAGCCTTGGCTGGGGGTTAGAATAAGGTGTTTGGAGAGATTAAAAAAAATGACCTGAAATAACCTCACTTTTGACAAGTCCACTGAAAGCACTGCAGCTGTGAATCCAGGCAAGTTACTGTTTAGGAAAGCAGGAGCTTTGTCCTCCAGCTGGGCTGGCTCTGGGGGCCTGAGGGATGGACCCTGTGCTCTTCCAAAAACTCCTGTGAGTCAGGAGACTTCTAATAAAATTATGTTCTCTTTTTTAAAAGAAATGGTTGCTGTAATGTTCTTTTTTCTGGGTCTTAAGGAAGCAACTGAAGTTAAGGAAGTGAGGCAAACAGACTGGAGGGAACTTAAACCACCACTGGTTTGTGCAGCTCAGGAAGGAGTGAGCTGGTGAGGAGACAAGCTCAGACTGAGCCATGTGCTCTGCAGGTCAGGCTTGAGGTGTGAGAGGCAGATGAAGCTCAGATTTGTGACTAATGGACCCATAACCAATGAGTCAGTACTGCAGGGAGCTTAAGAACGGGCCATTGGACTGAGGTGTTTGCTCCTGATGGACACAAGGTCATGGGGTAACTTAAATTCTGGCCATGGCTGCCTTTTTTTTTTCCTCTGCAGCACCAATGCCTCACTGCTGGGTTTCATCCTGGCAGTGACTATTTTGGAAGGCTCAGGTTGCAGGGTGTTTTGGCTACACTACCTTTGGAGAAGCAGCTGAAAGTGTGAGAACACCCTTGGTGCCACGAGATGTCCCAGGTCACTGCTGAGTGGCTGTTTCCAGCTGGGAACCTGCAACTGGTGTCTGGAGTGGAGGTGAGCCTGGGCTTGGCTTCCAACAAGGAAGTGCTTTTCCTTCAGCTGTGGGACAGTAGCCCAGTGCACCCACCTTGCTTGCAAGCAACCAAAACTGATGGCAGTCATCCTGGGAGTTGAAGCAAAGTAAGTGCCCTCAGGTGGTCATGGACCACTTCTCATCTAAGGGCAGTTTTAATTTGAAATTCTCTGATGTGATGCTAGAAAACCATTTAGCTCCACTCTCAGTATCCCATTGGATTTGTGTACTTGCATTTTAAAGAATGTGATTCCTAATACAGGTGCCTGGTGTTTGTCTGTCAAATATCCTTGACAGATGAATGTCCTTTTGATTTTACAGTCACAAAAAGTGAGCCTTGGTCGTGGCCTGTCACTGGGTGTTTGGAGTTCCTGTGTATTCCCAGTTTATCTGTGGACAAGGAGTATCCCAGAGCTGTAAGCTAACACACTGTGACCCTCCAGCTCTGGTTAGAACAGGTACAGAAGGCAAGAGGAAAGAATGTGCTGCTGGGGGAGGGTGGAACTGCACTAAACGGGGCAGCAGAGTGCAGACAACGGCTTGCAGAGGTGTCCTGCCCTGAGCTGTTTTGCTGAACTCTGTTCATCTGCAGGCAAACCGAGCCAGTGCAACACAGCCCATTGAAATGGCTGAGTCTGCACAAAGCAAACAGGAAAATTAGTGTATAAGCTGCACCTCACTTCTGGTACAATCCACTGGGGGGTGGTTTAACTCGCCACTTTGCACCTCACGATGCAAATTTTGCACATTGTATGACCTAGAAAATAAAAATGCACAGTTTCTCTGTATTTCTACCTCCTGCATTAAATCCATAAGTCTGTGCCTTGTGTGAACATGTCTATTTTTCTTCCTGGCTGCTCAGTCAACATCCACAGCACCATAGAATGGTTTGGGTTAGAAGAGACCTTAAAGATCATCTTGTTCCACCCCCTGCCATGGGCAGGGACACCTTCCACTAGCCCAGGTTGCTCCAAGCCCCATCCAACCTGGCCTTGGACACTTCCAGGGATGGGGCAGCCACAGCTTCTCTGGGCAACCTGTGCCAGGGCCTCCCCATCTCACAGGGAAGAATTTTTTCCTGATATCTAAACCTGCTCCCTTTCAGTTTGGAAACATCAGCCAGGAGCCAGTGTGTTGGTTGGAGGAGGTGTCCTGCATTTTGCTGCTCTGTGGATGTGGAAGGCAGGCCAGAGAATGGTGAGCACTGAATGGGAACAGTGAGAAGAAATTGCTGGGCTTTGTAACTGCTGCCTAAGCAGGGGATGGAGGGGATGTTGGGGCCGGGCTCTGTGCTCTCCCAGCCTGCTGAAGCTGCACTGCTGGGTGATAAACCCTGCAGGGCACGGAACCTTGAACCTGGTGCGACACAGCTTTGGGACTTCTGGAGCCTGTTCCCAGCAGGTGCTGCCTGGGTGTGAGTAAAGCAAACCCCCGGGGTTATCTCTGCCACACACGAGGTGATTGGAGCGGGTGGGAGGGGGGGTGGGACCGATTCCCTGTGCCCACAGGCTTTGTGTGCCCTGTGGGAACACAACCTTGTTCTGAGAGCAGGGATACGAGGATGGTGAAGGCTCTAGGGTCCTATTCCCATCCTGCTGTCTCTCCTCCAGCCCTGCCATCCCTCCTCCAACCCTGCCATCCGTATTCCCGTCTGGCCATCCCCATTCCAGCCTTGCCATCCCCATTCCAGCCCTGCCATTCTTATTCCATCCCTGTCATCCCTTCTCCAGCCCTGCTATCCCCATTCCATCGCTGCCATCCCCATTCCCGTCCTGCCATCCCCATTCCACCCCTTCTCCAGCCCTGCCACCCCTTCTCCAGCCCTGGCATCCTTATTCCATCTCTGCCATCCCTTCTCCAGCCCTGCTATCCCCATTCCATTGCCGCCGTCCCCATTCCATCCCTATTCCAGCCCTGCAGTCCCTATTCTCGTCCAACGGTCCCCATTCCAGCCCTGCCATCCCTTCTCCAGCCCTGCCATCCCTTCTCCAGCCCTGCCATCCCTCCTCCAGCCCTGCCATCCCTCCTGCAGCCCTGTTATCCCCATTCCCGCCCTGCCACCCCCATTCCCGCCCTGCCATCCCTATTCCATCCCCTCCATCCCTGCGGTCCCTCCTCCCCGCCGCCAGGTGCCCCTCGGCCGCCGCTTGCTCTGCCGGCGCGGCGGGGGCGGCCGCGGCTCCGCGGCCCTGCCGGTGGGGGTGCGGGGAAGGGAAGGCTCCGGACCCTGTTCCCGGACCTTTCGGGAGCCGGGAGGAGCCGAGCCAGGCCGGGAGGAGCCGGGCAAGGGAAGAAGGTGGGGCGGGAGCCCGCGGGGATGCGCGCGGGGATGGGGGGGCGGCTGCATCCCGCGGGAAAGGGCAGGATGCGGGATTGGGGCCGGCGCTGGGCTCTGCCCCTGGGATGCGGTTCGATCTCTCTGTGTTGCGGTCTCCGGGCTCCTCCATTTTATTACTTGTACTTAAAAAAAAAAAAAAAAGGCCATAAGGAAATAACGGTGCTTTGCGGGAGGTGCCCATCTGGTTTTCCCGTCTGATTTTTAAGCTCTTCCGGGCTGTTCTGCACCAGGTTTTTAGGCGCGTGTTTATTGTAGAGCCTGCTTTCATTCGGGGCCACGTTGCTACTGGTGATACAAATAATAATATAATATATATGACATAGAATAATATACATAATAATACATAAATTATATACGTAATATATATAATAATATAATATAGATATCTAAAGATATACAATATATATTGTAGGTATATTATTGTATTTATATATTGTGTTGTATTTAGATATTGTTATATTATTTTTGTATGTGATATATTTCTATATATCTATATTTATTTTATATATTTTTATATATAATTATTTATTATTATTATATAATTATTGGTGGGTTTTAAATGATAATGGCCTGTTTGGCATCCAGGCACAGACATAATGCACAGGTGCAATAGGTATTATATGTGCTAAGGACAAATAACAGAATGGTTTGGGTTGGAAGGAATCTTAAAAATCATCTCATTCCTGCCATGGGCAGGGACACCTTCCACTAGCCCAGGTTGTTCCCAGCCCTGTCCAACCTGGCCTTGGACACTTCCAGGGCTGGGGCAGCCACAGCTTCTCTGGGCAACCTGTGCCAGGGCCTCCCCACCCTCCCAGGGAAGAATTTCTCCCTAATATCCAATCTCATCCTGCTCTCTGGCAGTTTAAAGCCATTAACTGTTGAGCTTTGATGTGCAGTTGGACGACAGCCTCTTCTTTCCTTCCAGGGCATGGAGAAGTATCTTTTTCGTGAGTAGGTGTGGAGAACACCTCAAAATGTTTAAAAGCTTGTTCCTCTTTCTTTTACCAGCCTTCTCCAGCTGGTCAGTCCCTTTTGTCACGTCAGAATTCTTCCTTCCCTATGTGCCCTGACTCTGGACCTCACGTACCAGGGATGTGCATGGAAACTCCTGGTCAGAGCAGTTAATCACATCCTTATTTCATCTCCCATGTTCCCAAGGCCCATTAAAACATAATGGTTTTGTTTACCCAGCCTCCAGTCATTCCTGGGAATACCTCAACAGGCCAAACAGGAAGGCTGGGCTTGGCAGCTCTGACTCCTCATCACGTGAAGTCTCTTTGGTGTGAGTTTGGGTGTGAGGCCAGAGTTGGGCAGCAGGTACCACTGGTGCTTCTGCTGTTGCACAACTGGAAACTCCTGTATCCCAAAGCGTGACTCAACTGCTTCTGATGCACTTCCCTGAGTGCTCAGGAGTGATGAGACATATCTTGTATTTCACAGAAAGGTGTTATAAATATGAATGAGGTGTAGATATTTGATTATTAAATAACTGGGGGGCTTTTAGCACCAAGAGCAGCACCCACAGTTGTCTGTGCACTGTAATTTTGTTCTGGCAGTGTGTTTTTTGCTTGTTTGAGAGATTCTGTCTTGCACAGTGAGTGAGGGAAGACTTGTAAAAGAAATAACCGCTGGAAAAATAATCTTTATGGGCATAGATTCTAATTAGAATCGAATCATAGAATCATAGAATCGATTGGGTTGGAAAAGACCTCCAAGATCATCGAGTCCAACCCTTGGTCCAATTCTTCTGCATCAAAAAGATTTGGGGGTCTTGGTGCCATTAAAGACGAAATGAAGTCTGCAGTGAGGAGAGTAAAGTGGTTTTCACCTTGTCCTGATACTTACAGACCTTCTGGTCCCCCTTGTGTGTGTTTCTGATCCGCTCTGTGTCCCTGTCCCCCTGACAGGATGCTGTTCCCCCTGCCCCTGAGGGTGGCCTGCAGTCTGCTGGGCTGGTTCTCCCTCTACAAGTGGTTCTGCCACCACTACAGGCACCGCAATTCCGAGTGGAGCTGCAGGCTGGTCACCCTGACCCATGGCATCCTTGCCACCTGTCTCTCTGCTTACATTGGCTTTATCGATGGGCCCTGGCCTTTGAGTCACCCAGGTGAGTGATGACAGCTGTGGTCCCAGCTCCCTGCGTGGGTGGTGGCACTGAGGGGCTCTCCCACCACCTCTGCCCGCTCGAGGAGTGGTGACTGCAGTGGTCTCTGAGCTGCTCTGTGATGGGAAGCTCTAGAGAAATGGGGAGCCTGGCACTGCATTTCCTCGTGTGCTGGCCCTCCCCAGCTGCAGTTTGGTCACGCCGTGTGGCCATTACGTGTGTGCAGCTGCCGGACTGACAACCGTGGCTTTGTGACTTGGGGGGGACTTCTCTGGCCGGGCTGTGACCAGCATAAGCCGACACCCCTTCCTTGTCTCAGCTCCTGCTCGCTGCCTTAAAGTTCTTTATGTCTCCACGTTTCAGGATCACCCAACACGACCCTCCAGGTGCACGGGCTGTGCCTTAGCTTGGGCTACTTCCTCTTCGACCTGTGCTGGTGCGTGTACTTCCAGACGGAGGGTGCCCTGATGCTGGCCCACCACCTAGTGAGCATCGTGGGCATCGCAGCCTCGCTGGCCCTGGGCGAGTCGGCGGCGGACGTCAACGCCGTGATCTTCGGCAGCGAGATCACCAACCCCCTGCTGCAGGCCCGCTGGTTCCTCAAGGAGACGGGCTCCTACCACACCCTCACGGGCGACGTGGTGGATTTCCTCTTCGTGGTCCTGTTCACCGGCGTGCGGATCGGGATGGGGGCCTGGCTGATGTACTGCGAGCTGGCCTCCCCCCGGCCCCGCTGGTACATCAAGCTGGGGGGGGTCATCATGTACGCCGTGTCCTGGGTCTTCATGCTCAGCATCTGCCGCTTCGCCAGGAGGAAGAGCATGAGGAAGTACCAGGCGTGGAGGAGCCGCCGGAGCGGCGCCTGCTGCCTGAAAACCAACGGGCACCTGAAAACCCACTGAGGGGGGTGCTGAGGAAAGAATTCCTCGAGTTCACGCTGCCTGGCAGGGAGGGGGGGATCGTGCCTGGAATGGGGAGAGGAGCCAGCTCACGTTAGCGGTTCTGGAGCCAAGTTTATCCCTGGCTCGGCTCCACTGACGTCCGTGGAGCTGTGCCATGGATTCATTGGGGCTGCAGTGTTTGGCCTGGCAGGGGCTGGGTGAGCACACGCTGGATGGCACGAGGGAAAGAAGGGCTAATTTTATATATACTGACCACTGACTAGTCCAGCAGTGCAGGTGTAAATAGTGGTGTGAGTAGAAAACCTTCAGCACCGGTAGAACCTTGGAGAAGAGAGGAGGAGATAACACTGGGTCTTCATGTTCAGTGTCCTGTACAGTGTAGGCAGCTAAGAGTGTTCCTACTGGTAGGAAGAAGCATGTTCTAGTGTTGCATCAAATTCCTGGCTCTTCCACCAACTCGTTGTGTGACCTTGGGCAAGTCACATAACTCTTAACTCTGTGCCTAATTCCCCATCTGTGACTTGGGGGTGATGGAGCTGATCCATCTGTGTCATGCACTTTCAGACTTTTCCTTGAGAGGTGCTACATCAATGCAGAGTGATGGTTGTTATCTGCACTTTGTTCATTATCCTGATGTTCCCTTTGGGAGAAACAGCTTTGGTGGTTGAGCTAGAGTGTGACTCTAGAAAAATCAGTATTTTAGGTAGGTTGTTGTTTCCTACCCTTTCTAATTCCTTTTAATAACTTATTTATTAACATATTGATAACTTATTTTTCTGTAGTGTCCAGAAGCTCTAATCAGCACTGGAGCCTTACAGGACTAGGTGCTCTGTGAATACACCCAAAGACACAGCCCCTGGTGGGAAATGCTTTTATGACTTTTCCCTCTTCATCTCTGACTGTTAAAACTCCAGCCATCCCCTACAAACACTCCTTTTAGCTCCTTGAGTGACTCTCTGTTGTGAGAAGCCCCACCAGGACTTGCCAGTAAGGGGTTTTCTGGCTGATTGTCTGCAGAACACCAAAATTCCCTCTGCTGGGCTTATTGACCCAAATCCAAACTGGGATTTCTGGTTGAAGAGTGGCCAACATGCACCTCCAAAAACCCAGTGGCTGAGGTGGAATTGCTGCCCAGCTCTGAATTTGTCCTGTGCAAGCCAGAGACCTGATCTTGGCTCTCCTTCATCTGAATTGATGCCTTGACCTCTGGGCTTTGAATTCACCTTGTCTCCCTCATTGGATCTGTGTCACTTTATAAAATGAGCATTTATAGGGTCAGAGAGACTTATTTTGCAGCTTAATAATTAAAGAAGGAGAGAGGCACAGAGTGTGGCCTTTTTTAATCAAAAAAAAAAAAGTCAACCTGACTGAGAGAAAAAATAATCATTACTTATCTGGTCCCATTTGCAGGGAAACATTTTCCCAATTGGCAGCTTCTGGTGTTTGTTCCACTGCATCTTCTTCAGCTGTTCCTTTGTTGTTGCTGTCATTATTAGGATCATTTCATTTGAGCTTCAGCACTCCAGAGCAGCTCAGGGCCTGAGCCTCCCCTGCAGCAGCCAAAGACCTGAAGAGCCCAAAAAAAGCCCTTCAGATGAGCAGAGCCAAGTGGTGAGCTGGTCCTGCAAAGGAAACTTGACTCCTCCAGCACTACTGAGCCTTGAAGGGAGACAAGAAGGGCTAGTTGGGGCTTGCTGGTTCTTTCCCAGCTCTCCTGAGCGCGTCAAGGAGCCTTTTTGCTTCAGCTTACCCACTTTCTGGAGTGGGGACAGCACTACCTACCTCGTGGGGGGTTTCCATTTGACACCAAGCCACCTTTGATGGATGTTGGGTGGTTTGTGCTGCGTAAAAGCAAGATGCTGTTGCTTTGAGCCAAGCACTTCTCACTATGACCCATCAGCAGCACTTCTGTCACCTGAACATGGCACTTCCCAGCATCTGCTTGCCTCCCAGGAGCAGGAGTCCGAGGTGTTTGGCAAAGGTAGGAGCCAAAGGGACTAAGGATGTGCTGCTGCTGGTTCACGTGGACCCCCCAGGCTGAAGGAAGGATGCCAGGTGGGTTTTCCCTGGGAAGGACTGCAGTAAATCCAGAGCCAGAGGAGGTTCAGCAGCCAGCCTGACCAGGGAAAGGGGCTTTCAGCAGCAAGGCCTGAAGGAAGGCAGGTGAGAACAGCCTGCTTGTTGCTCAGTGCAGCTGTGGGCTTGCCCAGCAAGAAGAGCTTCCTGGGCAGCCCTGGTGGTCTGGGCTTTGAGGTTTGGGGTGTGGTTACCTGGACATCCCAACCTGCCCAGGTGAGTGAGGGTGTCACTGACTGCAGGTACCTGGGGAACACCTTGTGTGGAGATGTTTTGAATCACAGGGGCTCAGTGGTCCCCTCCTTTGAACTTGGTTGGAAGGAGAACATCCATCAATGGCTTTAGAGGTTAAACAAGGGCACCAGGAAACAAAAGGGCAATTAGGAACAGCTTTATGAGGTGGAGCTGCAACAGCATCTCAGAGCAAGGCCTCACAGTGTGTCCAGCATGGACTCACACACCCAGAAACACAACTCCCAAGCTGTGGAGCACAGGGTGGGACCTGTCCTCAGGCTGGTCCATGGTGGCTAGAGCAAACTGTGAAAGGAAACTGCAGAGCTAGTGTGGAATAATAACTTGTGTTTGAATTACTGTGTAATAGCAACTAATGTTCCACCAGTGAATGGTGTAGATGCTTTGTATCATGTTTTATAAAATAAAGATTATTTAATTATACGAGGAATTGCCTTTCTCTCTTCGGATGCTGTTCCTCAGTTGCACTGTGTATTTTGGATGAGTGTAAGTGAGCAAAGGGATGGTTGGTGAGTGCTTTTTTTCCACAACAACTTGTACAGCTTTCAGCATTGTTGCTTCTTGGGCACGTTAGCATTCTTTGCAAGGTTGTCTGAGGAGCGCTCAGTTACAATTTCAGGAGGGATTTCTTCATGGAAAGGGTTGTCAGGCGCTGGAAGGGGCTGCCCAGGGAGGTGGTGGAGTCCCCATCCCTGGAGGTGTCCAAGGAACCACTGGATGTGGCACTCAGTGCTCTGGGCTGTTGTTGATCAAGGACTTTGATTGATCAGGGGTGGACTCGATGATCTTGGAGGTCTTTTCCAACCTCTGTGGTTCTGTGTGTGGTTCAGTAATGCAGAGCAAAAATGTTTCCTTTGTTTTCCATGCTAAGGGACAACGTTCTCCTGTGTTTCCACACCATGAGCTCTTCTCATTTATAAACTAAGTATTATTGCCTAGGAATTGCTTCATTGGGAAGCCTGCTAGGAAGGGGGTGTGTATTAGCATTATTTAATGTTTAATTTAATTTAACGTTGCCTTGTCTGGGGGTACTTGCAGCTGTAGAGATGAGCCAAAGTCAGCACCGGGCAGAGGTGCAGCTTTAATCTGGGCTCTGAGTGGTGCTGCTCTGTCTGTGCTGTGCTGGTTTTGCTCCTGTGCTGGGGATCTGCCCCTGTTCAGAGCCAGGGAGGCACTGCAGGCAGGGCAGCTGCTGGGAGCTGTGTGTGTCGTGTTGTGTTCGTGCCCCAGAGCTCCCTGGGCAGGGCTGTCCCGATCTGCTGAGGGAAATGGGAGCTGCCAGGGGGATGTGCAGGAATCAGGGACTTCTTTTGCCCTTGGTGCAGCAGCTGAGCCCCGGGAAAGCCACCAACACACACAACAGCTTATCAGGTCAGTTGTAAAGCTGTGCACTTCTTTTAGAAGCTCTGCTTCAGGGGCTGCTCCTGGAATTAGAGGAGAGGAAAACATTTCTTTCAGTGATGCTTAAGAGACCTGGGCACCACCCAGGATTCCTGTGGGCGAGGCACTGGATAAATCCAGAAGGGAGGGAGGGTCCTGCCCTGTCCCAGCAGCTCCAGACCTGTGTGTGGCCAAGGCAAGGCCTGTGGTGCTGTGCTGGTGAAGAACAGCCACCCTGCCTGCTTATGGCCACAGCATTTTGCCAGGGATCCAGCGTGCCAAAAGTCTGCTTTCTATAAATAGTTAAGCCAATTTAGTTGTTTGCATGTAACCCTTCCATCGGGCTCCAAATCCTCCAGCACTGGGGAGCAGCTGCTGAGCCCTCTGGAGCTGTTGGCCTGTTTGCAGGGCAGGGGCAGCCCCGGGATTGGGGTGAAGGGGTCTCAAGGAATTTATGCTGGGAGTTCTTTTAACCTCAGAGGTAGCCCAGGAGCAGAGAAAAAAGTACAGCAGCATTCTGAGGCTTTGCTTTAGAGCTGCAAACATCCTCCAGGTTTTATGTCTTCAGGAGTGACGTGCCAGAATGTAACCTTAAGTCACTGGACAGATGTGCTTTTACTGTATACTGAAATCTGCCCCCCTACACCCAATTAATTTAATTTTTTATTGTCCTGTTATTTTTTTAAAGCCTTCCCTGCTGCTTGCCTGCTGGCCCTATAAAATGAACTCTATAAAATTAACCTCTTCTTTCAGTCCTCTGCCCTCTTTTTGTAGCTGAACTCCTTATTTGTATTTGAAGAAATTGTAATTTTTTTGATATCCAAGGCTTTATTCCCTTGCAGCAATAGTCCAAGCACTGATGTAAAAGCATTCTAAGTCTTTGAAATCTGCTATGAGACTGATACCATTGCTGTCAGCAGGTCTTTCTTGGACAGAAAAGATGAGAGAATGTTTTAAGCTTCATGGTGATATTCTTGATACTTGCAGATTTTGTATAGTCTGAAAGTAAAATAACATGGAGTCTTTTATGTCCAAAGAAATCAAATTTCAGAGAGGGAGAGGGAATCAGTCAGCACTGGCTTTGTGTTCCTTAAGCAATTTCTGGGCAAGGAGCAACTCTTTTTTTTGGTTATACCAATAAACCAGCACTTTCCTCTCTCCAACTCAGCTTCAGTAAGTGCTCTAATAAATCTGTGTAGGAGAAGGAGTTTGATTTGCCCTGTTTCCCTCAGGTTCCAGGGGCAGTTTGGCAGCTGATGAGTTGGCAGCATGAGGGATCTTTAGAAAATTAATGAGGAAAAGTGAATAGATCAAGGTGTATGGAAAAGCTTTTGTAAAGTCAGAGTGGTTCACAGGTCATTCATTTTGAATGAGAAGGAGAAAGTGCCAGTTTCTGCAGCTTCTTAAATGCTACAAACACAGGTTTTCAGCAATATTTGTGTTTCGTTGTTTGAGTTGTGTCAGAAGGTTCAGTGTAACAATCCTCAAACTTGATGAGAAATTTACACCCTTCACCTCTTTAGATTTTACCCCCTTAACAACCACCTCTTTGTTTTTAATCCCCTCTCCAGCCAGAGGACGTTTATTCCAGCAGAGAGTGAGAAGGAACCTCCTGACAGAACATCCAGCAGCTTCATCTGCCCTCGCAGAGGTGGCTGCTTTGCTTATGCTGATATGGAAAGAAAGCTTAGAGCTATAAAAATGCTTAGTGCCACGTGGATTATCCAGGTTTAGGAACTGTAATAAGCTGTCACAGTGGAAGCTCTGACAGATTAGTCCATCTGTGTCTCAACAGAGGCAGCAAAGTGTTGTCCCAAGTGGCCTAAAAGAGACCAGCCCTGGGGGCATTTCCAGCAGCTCCAGGGAACTGGGTGCAGGACAAGCTGCCTGTCTGTAGGTGGTAAATCAGGGGCTTGTTTTAAGATGGGAAAAGGCTTTGAAGCTGCACAGGAGTGTGGAGCCCAGCACGAATTCCTGTGTGTTTTGTCAGGTTAGGGTTACCTCCAGGCATGGAAGTGGCCACTGGATCCAGCAGCTGTTGGTGCTTGAGGTGAGTTTGACTGGGTGGAATCACACACAGGGCACTACAAACAATCACTGAGGCAGGAAGGTTTGAGCTGTGCTGAGCTTGAGAGCAGAGCCAGGTTTACCCCAACCCTGACCCAAGATCAAGGTCCTCTCTGTTCTTCAGGAGTCACAAATCCATATGCACGTTTGGGAAATGAACTGTCTTCTCAGTAAGCCTTTCCCTCCAGTTGTGCAGGGTGGAAGGGTTGGCTGTCGCCTTCCAAAAGCAGCAGAACAAGAGCTGGCACAGCAATTTATGGTGAGTTTAAATAACAGTCCAAAATACCGGTGCATTCTATCAGTGGCTTTAAATTGATGACTTGTAAGTAGCAAAAGAGACTTCATCCCCTTGATTTTTATGATGGAGCTCAGCAAAACTCAGCTGATCATCATGTCTGACTCGGCACATAATTTTGCAAAGCTTTCTGTTATTTTCTTTAGTTTTGTTCTGTACTTTACTTCTTTACTATTTACTTTCTTTACTTTCTATCCTCTTCTTTACTTGAGGTCTGCAGGAGACCCGTTGCACACGCAGGTAAGTTGCTCCCGTGGCTGGTTATCCCACCTGAGACACGAAGGGAGATTTTCCTGAAGGAAAAAGGGTCACCTGCACTGTTTATATTCATAGCTAAAATTTGAACTATCGCCTTTTGCTGATTTCTGTGGCTTTCTGTGCCGAGGCCACAGTGGTGCAAACCCCCACGGAGCATCCCGGGTATCACACGGCTTGGAAATGCTCCTTTCCGAAGGGGAACGAGGGGGCGATCAGGAGCTCACCGTTTACCTGCTGGGAAGTTCAGGTTAGAGGAACCATTCGAGGCTTTCCCAGCAGATGGCAACAGCTCCTCGGTGCGAGGCTGGAAAAGAGGGATTAGGCAAAAGGATCTCAGCAAACACTTTCTCTGTAAACCTGCCTTTGCAGGAGCCCCTCTAAGGCTCCTCCAAGGATCTGCCCTTTGCTTTAGGGCAAAATAAATTATGCTCCACAGGAATCATCAGTTTTTGCTCCGGGGTTCTCCTCACTTGAGCTGCTTAGCTCTGCTTTGGACTGAAAAATAGACTTTTGTGGACTTTGGTGCTGTGCCCTGGAGACTGATGAGGTTAATCAAAGAAACACAGAATGGTTTGGGTTGGAAGGGACCTTAAAGATCATCTCGTTCCAACCCCTCTGCCATGGGATGGTACTTTGTGGTAAATTCAGCATAAGTGACAACTTCAGAGCTACCAAGAAAAAGTATCTATTTTAGTTGGTGCAGTGTAATTGTTTATTGATTTCCCCACCCCATATTTCACGCTGTAAAACTGCCCAGGCAGAATTATCATAAATAGGCATCCATCTTAACCTAAGTGTGCAGTCAGCTCCCACCATAAAAAAATAGCATTTGCAGAAAAGAGAAGCAGTTATGGTTTCAGTATCTATGTCTTAGCATTTCCTCCAGCTAATTGTTGTTCTCATTACGTTGTCATGCACAATAAAATATAATTAAAGGAATAAAGAAGGCCTAACATGCAAATGCTGGGCCTGCCGTGAATCAGAAGGTCTCCCAGGAGCCTTCCCTTCTCCAGGCACGGAACTTGATGTTCCCAAAGTTAAAAGCAGGGAGGGATTTATTGCAGGCAAGATGCAATAAAGGGATATATAATAAATAAATACAGATATATGGAGGTATTCAGTCACTTCATCACCACTGTGGTGCACAGCTGCAGAATGAGAGGCAGACGTGGCTGCTTGTCTTGCACTCCCACACTTTTCTTTTCTTTTTTTTTTTCTTTCCCCAAGCCTGTATTTTCCTCAGAAGGAAACCAAAAAAGGAAGTATAAATGTCCCGCGCCTATATGTCAAGTATCATGTAGAAAATGATTTCATCCCACGCTTCCCCTCTTTGCTCTGAACTTCATCAAAACAACAAATTCTTCAGGCTCTCAGACAGTCTGCTGGCTTCCTGATCCACGCTCGCTTCGCTCCAAAGCAGGAAAAGGCTCCGTGTTCCAGAGCAGCAGCAGCCTGGATTTAGCTTCAGGCAAGGTATGGTCCTGTGTGCTCAGGGAGGGGTCTGCTCCCGAGTTTCCAAAGCCTGTTTTCCAGGCTCTTTCCAAGTCCAGTGTCCTGGCTTTGAAGTATATGATGGCAAGATTAATTAAAGGGAAGGAGGATGGTGTCCTAGATGATTGGGATTAGCTAATAGGGTTATTTTAGTCTGCTGGCATTTGGTAGGACAGACTGATGTTCCATGAGTTTCTCTGCATGGGGAGAGCAGGAATTACTGTCCACCCTCCCTGGCAGAGGAACCCTCCTGATTTCTGTCAGACTTCTGCAGTGCTCGTGAGCTTTAATTCCTGGAGGAGAAGCGTGGAAGGTTCCTGAAGTTAGAGCACATAGATTTTATTTCCAGGTGTTTGGGAACAACTTGCTTGTAGGGGCAGGACAAGGAGAAGTGCCTTAGACTGGATATTAGGAAAAAATTCCTCCCTGTGAGGGTGGTGGGGCACTGGCACAGGTTGCCCAGAGAAGCTGTGGCTGCCCCATCCCTGGGAGTATCCAAGGCCAGGTTGGATGTTGGAGCAACCCAGGATAGTGGAAGGTTGTGCCCATGGCAGGGGGTGGAATGAGACGATATTTAAGGTCCTTTCCAACCCAAACCATTGGGGTTCTGTGTAGAGCTGAGGCAGGCATTTCCCTCTAAAGCAGAGTTGTGCATGGCATAAATAGCAGGGAGACACAGCCGTGCACCAGCGAGGATGTGTTTGTGCTGAGGAGAGGGAAATCCACACCTGCTGAAATTTCAATGTCCAAATATCCCTTTTTGCCTATCTTTTCATACTGGAGTTTTTTTACATGAAGAGGAGCAGGAACTCAGTGCAGTGTTTCTGGAAGGCTGAGGTACGTGCAGGGAGGGATCAGTTCTCCGATTTATGTTGACCTTCACCCGTGAGAAAAATTCCTAATGAAACGTGTGTGGAAATGCAGGGGAATGTGAGACTGGACGTGGAGCCATGAAAGGTTTTGGAGCAAACAGCACAGGCGGTGGTGACTCTTCGAGACAGAGCTCCCGGCACTCCACTATTTTAATTCGCTGTTTATTTTCTTTCTGCTGTTAAGCCTCTTTGGTGTCATATTTTCCATCCCGCAGCCCGTGGAGATGGAGGCGCGGGCACTCCCTGCCCTCCGAGCTTGTGACGAGGCAAAAACCGGGGAGCGGGAGGGAGGAGGAGGAGGGCTGGGGATGGGAAATGGAGAGGGAAACCTCTCCGGCAGGGATACGGGATGAGGGAGGAGGGACTGTGACTTGAATGGAGACGGAAGAGAAGGAAACACCCCGCTGGCCTGGGAAAGGCTTCCCGAAGGGGAAAACGCAAAGGACCGGGAGGAGGAAGAAGAGGAGGAGGAAGGGGAGAAGGTGGAAGAGGAGGGGGGAGAGAGGAGGAAAATAAGGGGAAGAGAAGGAAAGGAAGAGAAGAAAGGGGGAAAGGAGAAAAGGGAGGAAGAAGAGAAGGAGCAAGAGAAGGGGGGAAAGGAGGAAAAGGAGGAAGAGGGGGAGAAGAGAAGGAAAAGCTGGTGAAGAGAAGGAGAAGGAGGGGTAAGAGGAGGAAAAGGAGAAAAAGGAGAAGGAGGAGTAGGAGAAAGGGAGGAGAAGGAGGGAGAGAAGGAGGAGGAGAGAGAAGGAGCAGAAGAAGGAGGAGGGGGGAAGAGAAGAGGGAGGAGGAAGAGAAGGAGGAGGAGGGGGAAGGAGGAGGAAAGAGAAAAGAAGAAGGAGGAGGAGGAGAAAAAGGAGGAGGTGGAAGAGGAAGAGGAGGAGAAGCAGGAGGAGGAAGAGGAGGGCTGCCGGCGGAGGGATCCGGTGCCGGGGCGGGGCGGCCGGAGGTACGAGCCCCCCGGAGGCGCCGGGGAGGGGCGAGCCGAGCCCAGCCCAGGATCCGAGCCCAGCCCAGGATCCGAGCCCAGCCCAGGATCCGAGCCCAGCCCAGGACCCGAGCCCAGCCCAGGACCCGAGCCCAGCCCAGCCCATCCCAGCCCAGCCCGGCCCGGCCCGGCTCGGCGCAGGCTCCGCCGGGACGCGCCGCTCCCGCCTGGCCGCAGCCGCAGCAGCGCAGCGGGGCCAGCCCCGGGCCGGGAGGGGAGCGGGGGCCGCGGCGAGGCTTGGCCGTGCGCGGGGCCGGAGCGGGAGGCGGAGCGGCGGCCGATGGAGCCCCGGGCCTAGAGGGGCCGGCCGGGCCGCCCCCGCGGCGGGCGAGCCCCGGGCGGGGGTCGGGGCGGGCGGGCAGCGGGACATGGGCCCGGCCGCGGGCGGGGAGCGCCGCCCGCCCCCCCTGCGCTGAGCCCCCGCAGCGCTCCCGCCGCAGCCTCGCCGCTGCTTCTTTCCTCCCCCTCGGGGGGCGAAGGGAACACCGACATTGGGTTTTTTTTTTCCTTTTTTTTTTTTTCTTTTTTTTTTTTTTTTTGCTTTTTTCCCCCCCTCTCCGTGATCTGGATATTCTGCGCGACCGCAAAGAAGAACTTTTTGTTTGTTTTTTTTTTCCTTTTGTTTGTTTGTTTGGGTTTTTTTGTTTTATTTTGGGTTTTTCTGTTTCGTTTCGTTTTTCCTCCCCTCCTGCCCTCGCCCCGGCTCTGTCCCTCCCGTGTCACTCTCTCCCGGAGCCGGGGCTGGAGCCCGGAACCTCAGCGAGGGGCGAAGCCTCCTTCCTGCTCCCGCCGCGAATAAGTAAAATGTAAATTGGATAATAACGACCTCTTGCCAAAGGCTCCAATGAGTGGCACACAGTCCACAATCACGGACAGGTCAGTATGAAATGAAATTTCTCTGGTTTTCCTCTTTTCTGAAGTGTAGAGACCGTTCCCAGGGCTCGTGTACTTCGCGTTCTGACTTCATTGATAGAAAGAATGAGAAGAGCGGGGTTAAATCTGAGTTTTTCGGGAGCCTATCTGTACCCAGGGTGTCTGACTGTCAAAGCGACCGGGTTAACTTTGAAACCGGAGTATTTCAAGTCCAACAGCTTTCAAGCCTGCCAGGCTGACTCTGTAGGAAGCACGGGTTGTAATTCAGCTCCCAGGATGGGAGGAACACCGAAGTAATCTCGGCAAGGAGTTAAAGCAGGAAAGGCGACAGGAGTTTAGGATTCGGCTCGAGTGTGAACTCAGAAAGCTTGTGCAGAATGCACTTGGGTCTCGTTGGGTCAAGCACTGCTGGGAGGTCACCTCAGGTGAGGCAGGAGGGATAGTTGTGGAGCAGGAATGTCTGCTGGTGTCTCCCTCGGTTTGAATTGTCCTGGCTTTAGGTACCTGCTCCGGCCTCTGGGCTGCTCTGCAGGTGCTCCATGTGCCTTTTATTACAGCCTGGAGTTCTCCTGCTTGAACTGGGAGAAAAATGTGGGGTTCGTTGTGATAAAAAAAACTCAACTAGGAGACCTCTTCATGTGCTTTTGAGGCAGGAGGAGTGGAATGAGTGCCTTCATTTGAGGAGAGGAAAAGTTATCCTTTTTTTTTTTTTTTTCCCAGCTTAACAATGTCAAAAATTTTCATGTATTTTATTATATTCTTATCATGTATCTTTGGTGGTTAAGGTGTGAATGTGTGTGACAAAGGCCTTGCTTTGGCCTTTCACGACCGAGCAGCTCTGGCACAGCAGAGAATGCAGAGCTGGGACAGAGGAATGATGATTTTGGCTGCCTGAGCTCGTCCTATAGACTCCAGGGGTGGGCAGCCAGTGCAGCTCTCACACTTAGGCCTTTTCATGACTCCACAGGTCAGCTCAGAATTGTGTACAGTCTGTGTTTATGACTGTTCATAGAGGATTAAGTCTTTGTAATTAATTGTGTAGCTGTCACAGAACAGGTGACAGAAGAAAACTCCTGAATTTTTGCTCTTTTGCAGTGCATTAATGATTCTCGAGTTGCAGGACGTTTTTCTCTGTACCAGACAAGACAATGACACTAAAAAGGCATTTCAGTGGCTTTGTGAGGATTTTGTTACATACTTAAGACCATATGTCTTGTGGCAGTTGCATGATATCAAAAGGAACGACAGGATTTTCATACCAAGAGGCAGCTGAGTGATGCATGGAAAAGAAAAGCACGAGAACAGGGAATTTAATTTACTTGTTAGTAAAACAAAATACTTTCCATGATTGAACTGGAACAGCCAAATTGAAAACGTAGCAGAGACAAAAAAAAAAAAAAGTCTCATTTCCTTTAGCTCTCAGTCATGTCAGGAGGATGTTTCTGTTTGGTTCTCCATTAAGGGTCTGGTTTAAAAGGCTTTTAATGTCAGGTGAGGAGCTGCCTCCAAAGCCCTGGCAGTCAGAGCTTTCTGGAAGTGGGGATGTGGGATGGCTGGGGGAATGTGGGGAAGCTGGATCTTGTCTTGCCACTGCTCTCCACCTCTGGCCTGAAGGAACCCCAGCTCTGGAGGTGCAAAGTTGTGGTCGTTGTTCAGCCTGGAGAAGAGAAACTTTGAGGTGACCTAATTGTGGCCTTCCAGTACCTGGAGGAGCTACAGGAAAGATGGAGAGGGACTATTTAAAAGGGCCTGGAGTGCCAGGACAAGGGGGAATGGCTTCATGCTGACAAAGGGCAGGGTTAGATGGGATACTGGGAAGGAATCCTTCCCTGGGAGGGTGGGGAGGCCCTGGCACAGGTTACCCAGAGAAGCTGTGGCTGCCCCAGCCCTGGAAGTGTCCAAAGCCAGGTTGGACGGGGCTTGGAGCAACCTGGGCTAGTGGAAGGTGTCCCTGCCCATGGCAGGGGGGTGGAGAGAGATGGTCTTTAAAGTCCCTTCCAGCCCCAACCATTCTGGGGTTCTGTGATGATTCTGTGATTTATTCCCTGGCTGAGCCTTTCAGCAGAACCCCAGGCATGGTGGGGTTTCCTCATCTCTGCCCCTCCTCTCTGTCTGCTTTGTGCAGGATCTGGAAGGGGGTGTCTTTTGGTCACTGTTGTCCCACAGTGCAGTGGGGAAATGCTTCCTTTCCCCTTAGGTCCAAGAAGCCTCTGTGTTGCCTCTTTCAATCTGTCTCTTAATCTGGGAATGTAAAGCAGGTGCAGTAGAAATCATCCCGATGCTTCATTAGTGTCATTAGATCTGCGTGGTGGAAATCAGATGATGTGTTCAGTTCTCTCTGTGTTTTTATCAGTGCCCTTCCTTGGTGGGATCCAGTTGGGAACTACCCTAAAACAGGAAAACCCAGCTGGCATCTGTGCCAGATGGCATTAGGAATATGACAGGGTGGCATGGGCCAGCATTTTTCTCCATATTAGCTTCCCATATTTGCATGTTACACATGTAGAGCTGCCTAAATCCATGTCACAGGCAGCAGATATTTCCTGTGGTATCCCCTCAGCTGAAGGTGGTAATTGTGCTATGATTTGACAGCTGTCAGACATTTCCCCTGCACAAGTTGCACTTGTCTCATCCTTGACATGTTTTATGGCTTTTATGTTTTTGTTGATGATGTCATGTATGGCATTAAAGTTTATAAATTAGGAGTGTATGAATGGCCATTTCTGGTGCTGTTCTGTAGCTAGTGTGATAAATGATGTTTTCATTGAATCCCCTCCCTTTTTTTTTTTTCTCTTTTTTATTTTGTTCCCTTTCCCAGGAAAGTTAAGTGGATTTTAGTGTCTGGCACTCTGCTGAAACACAGTCAGGCCAGTTCATATCTGATGGTAATTCCCTCTGTGGACCAAACCTTAACCCAGTTAATTTTGCTGATGGTTATGCTCCATCCCTGAGCTGGATTCTGGTATCCAGCTGCCTCCAAAGCAACAGCATTTTTTTCAAGTATCTTTTTCTTCAAGTGCCTTAAGCCTGGAGGGAAGTGAGTGCCTGGGAGAGTGGGGGAATACCAGGCATTAAACAAAAAGGCAGAACAGATGTTAAAACTCCTGGGAGTGTAATGGCTGTTCAGAGTTACTGAAGAAGCCTCTGACACACACTGTTCCCCATCAGCTCCTCAGCATTTGGAGAAGCACCTAAAGGGTAAAATAAAGATTAGCTCGTGATAGAGTAGAAACACATCTGCAAAACGGTGTCCAGGATTGCTGGGGTGCCTTGCATGGCTGCTGGTGGTTTGAGAGAGTCAGAACTTTTAACACTGACCTAAACTTCCCCTTCTTTATCGCAGGATGTTCTTTTACTTTGTCAGCTGCTGCTTTTTTTTCATAAAAAATGCCCAGTGGACCATCTCAAACCCATCTCCAGCCTTATTGCTCTGCTCCTTTATGTTTGTAAACACATACATCCCCTTCACTTAATCCTCCCTTAGCCATGCTGTGTTTATTTAGAGGCCTCCTGAGGTGGCATTTATCTTGCTTAGCCTAGTAAGCCTTCGAGGTGGAACATCTCTGAGCTGCTCACCAAGATTGACTTGATGGTGGAAGGAACCTGGTGCATGGAGGGGACCATTTCTTATCCCAGAGCAGGTACCTGAAATCGGGCAGATCTGCTCTTCATTCCTGCCTGGATTTAAGTGAGGTTTGCCATTAGAAAACCCAAATTTTTGCCCGGTTGCTGGTGCTGGGTTGGGTTTTTGCTGCCGGATGGTTTCAGGGCTGTCACCTGAGGATTTGGGAGTGGGGAGGGCGGCGGTGGCCGGGCAGGGTTTGCTGGGGGAGTCTCCCAGCGGTCCTGCAGTGAGTGTGCCCGCATTCCCTCCCTCTGGAGTTTTCCTGGACACAGCCAGGCCGGCTCTGGGCGTTGCTGCTGTGCCGTTTGTGGCCGGGGACACATGGCCGGGCGAGATAAGGCCTTTATTCTTCCCAAGGCCACGCCGGGGCCGGGATGAAACCCGGCCATTTGCAGGCTCTGCTTGGCCACCGAGGGCTGCCCCGAGCTGGGCTGGGTCTGTATCCTGTTATGACACCGAAGAAACATTTGTGTGCCATTAATTCTCTTTTTTTTCTTTTTTTTTTGCTCTCCTAGCTCACTGTATTTTTTCTTCCTGTAACCGTTCCAAACTCACTTCAGAGTTGAGCAACTGCACGGCTGCGGGACTCGCTTTATGTTTTTCTTTCTGGTTTATTAAAAGCCCAATAAAAGAAAGGAGGCTCTTGCTTTCGCAGGACCTCGCTGAGGAACCGGTGACTCTTCCCTTTTGCACTTGCTTGCAAATGAGTTTTATTTATAACCGTGCTGTAGTTTCTGTTGCTATGATTGGAAAACAGCAGAGGTAGAATTTACACATAATTACCCTTGAGAAGTTTTAATTGGTGATTTGCTCCTGACTTGGTACTAAAATAGACCCTAATTGTTTCTTATCTGCTTAGATGCACTTTCCCCTGTCTTTGGAAGTCCCTGTAGTAACTGGGAATTCTTTAGCTGTCTGGTGGGGGGAAAAAAAAGGGTTTTCTTTTTTTTCCAGCAGAGTAAGAACTTCACAGAAAGTCGCACCTTATTGTTAGTGAGTAGTTAGATGCTATTATCATGCATTTATTTAATCAGTAGTAATTTATTTAATGTGAGACCCAATATTTATGGAAAATGAGCTGCAGCACGACATCTAAGGACTAAAAAGCATAATAATCTTTAAGGCAAATCATCTTGTGCTTTCACTGAGTTTGGAAATGAGTAGTTGACATAGTCTGTGCATAAATCCATTTTCTCTTTTGCTTTTGTCGTGGCTGTGACAAGAGAGGACTGTCTGGGATGTTCTCTGCTGGCCAGGAAGCAAATGCTCCCAGTTCATGCTGCATAGTTTATTAGGGTTTTTCACTGGAGACAGGAGTTGAGGTGAGCTTGATTTTCTAGTTTTGAGTAGAGCTGTGGGCGTTGTGATTATTTGGGTG